CTCTCTCTCTCTCTCTCTCTCTCTCTCTCTCTCTCTCTCTCTCTCTCACTCTCACATTCTCTGTTCCAAACTCCCAGTCCATTTTCCTTTCTGTCGCTGTCGAAGATCGAAAAGGAAAATTCAAACTAAGAATTGCATTTCGCCTTATTTATGGTTCGGCCGTGGCAAAAAGACTATCGAGAGAGATAGAGAGAATGGGGAGAGAAAAAAAAAACTCAACGGAAATTGAGAGATTTATTTCAAGGGCTTAACATAGAGCTGAATATCAATCGATTTGACAAAATGAATAACGACAACTAAATGATTACAATGTACCATCGATTTGCATCAATTATTACCATCAAGCGTACCAAAAAAAAAAATACCCACAGATAAATTATGTAGATAAAACAGACCTCGTATCTAACAACAACAACAAAAAACGATGAAAAAAATAATTTTTTCGTCATTGTGTTTCGAAAATGTTCTTATTGGCTTTATTTTCTACATGGAATAATTTTTTTCTCCTTCGCCAGCACATTTTTTTTTTTTTACTAAATCGCCCTAACGGCAGAATTTCTGAACTGAACATTTCTTACCTAGATCACCAGAATCTTCGTCTTAGTGATGGTGTTCTGATTTAGTTTGGTCGTAACTTGTTCGTAGTGTTTTCTTTTGCTTTCGCAACGTTATATCACAAACCGATTCGATTAAATTTATGTATTTTCTTTGAACCGAATTTCTTTTCGTTTCTGTATTTTATTTGATGATCTCAAATGAAATTTTCTTTAAACACCGTGAACGAAATTGGTTTCTTTCGACTTCAAATTTAAATCTATTTATTAATCTGGAAGAATAAGCACAAATTGAATGAACAAATCCACCTGAACTGGATTAAACGGAAATAAATCAAAAACCAAGAATTTCGTGATTATTTTTTTCTGGTTGAAGGGAGGGTGTAAAAATAAAACTTCAAGATAAGTGCGAAAATAATAATTGTTATGATTAATTTTATTGTGTTCTAAAGAGGTTTGAAAAAAAAAAAATAAATAAAATAAAATAAAGGGAAATAACAAACGATTTAGATTTTAATCGAAATTAGAGACACAGAGAGGGAGAGGTAGTAAAGTGAGCGTTGAAATAAAACAGAAACCAAAATTTCGACTATAATGTAAAAATGGTAATGTTCAGTAGGCACGGAACGAAACTGAAATACTTTTTTTCCACTAGAGAGAACTTTGCTGAGTGTGTCGAGAAATCACGTGCGACTATCAATATAAAGCGCGAACAAATGATAATATTCCTGGTTGTTGTGTGCATACAATCTAGTGCTTTTTGTTGACGAACGGCATGAAATGCTTGCCCTTCTTCTTCAAAAGCATTCGGCTTATTCGGAAGTTCGTCACACACACACACACACACACTTGCTCGTTCGCTCGCTCCAACATACATTCACACGACCGTGTGTAACAACCAAACGGCAAATAAATATTCAACAATAAAATTCCATGTAGTACAACACATTGGCGCGCACACAAACACACGACAAATTGATTCACATACACATACACATTGAGCTCCACACACTCAGGACGAGGCAAAGTTATCGGACTCGGGTTCAATCTCGGTGGAGAAAATACGTTTTCAGTTTGGCTACAGGCCATGGGAATATACATATGCAAACGCAAGCGCATTCAACCAACCGTTCGTTGCTACAAATTCTTCGATAGAATCCATCGGACCGAAATGGAGTGGTTCGTTTGATAGTTGCACACTAGGGGTTTCACGCAACTTAAAATTCATCTAAAATTTCAATATTTCTCTCTTTTCTCTAAAATTCTCTGGGATTCACCAAAATCCGTATTATTTCGAAATATTTCAACATTCACCTTGAAAATTATGTTCTGGAAGTGGGTTTTGGTGGATCCCCAGGATCGTTCAAAACTGCTCCCGGTTCTGGAAGTGGGTTTTGGTGGATCTTCAGGATGGATCAGACTGGGTTTGACAATGCCCTGGTCCATCCTGAGGTTCCACTTCCAGAACCAGGAGCGGTTTTGAACAATACTGAGGATCCACCAAAACCCACTTCCAGAATTTTTAGATTCAAAAAATTCTAAAAAATTCGAGTTTATGAATAAAAAGAAGCAATATCTATAGTTTACACATAAAATGGTTTTATTTCCAGCTATTTAGTAAAATCTTCGACCTTCGAGTTTGCGTGAAACCCCTAGGTTGCACACACAGTTGGAAAATCCAGAGAAATTGCGTTTCACTTATAGATATATGAAGAAAAGCTCGATGCAAACAAAAGCTTTTGTTGGACTTTGATGTGGAAAAAAGTCCATCGGGGAATTGAAATAAAGCCAAGACATCGACTCCGTTGACGGTTACAAAAGCTCAATGCTCAAAGCTCGTTTCTAATCAACTTTATTTGTTATATTCAATTATGGAAAAACCCTTAACAAACTGAACCTGTTCCGCTTACTACACAAAGAAAAAGCTCGTATTCTTCTTCTCCTGAATGCCATAGTAAAGCTTCTTCGTTCGAATACCTAACCGGTCGTTTTTCACCATTTATATTGGTACGTTCAACTTTCTCATTATTTTGCTCATTTTGCCACTAAAACTCTATTTTCGTCTGATTGAAAGTGTACGTAACGACTTTCTGAAAGAGTTTAACTAAAGAGCGTAGAAGAGAGAGAGAGAGAGCGAGTAGTTTTGTTGTTATGACTACGTTGCTATGTAGGTGTTTTTAATGTATCATGTGATTGAAAATTTCCATTGCGGAATTACCTGTTTCTATTCTATATTGCGTTGTACGTTCGACGAAATATCACACGCTATAAAATGTTAAAGCATAATATTTTCTTTGTCATGTGGCATTCACTGTACATATATGCACTGGCGCGTATTACATCGTCAATCACTTAAGCAGACACTTCAGATGAACATATATTAACATTAATGTGTAATCTTTAAAGTCATTCTGAACGAAATGAGCGCCAAATTAATGAATGATTCGCGAGAATATTTCGAATTTAGCATGGCGCACAGAGAGTTGAGAAGGAGCATGACCTTGGATTAATGTGATCCCTCACCTTTTTTTTTCAATTAAAGTACGTGCTAGACATGACAAATTTGCCTATTCAACATTTAACGGAGCGTATCGAATTGATGATATTAAAAAAGTGTATTTAATGGAATTTAAAAAAAACGGGTTTGAACGTTCATCCGTTCCTCAGTTACTCTTTACACAGCAGAATTTGGGCGTGATTCCTGTTCAAATGTCGTTCATTTTGTCCAGGTGCAATCGCCCGTATATTTTTTTTTCCTCGGCAAAATGTGATTGATTGATTCATCATTACGAAAGAAAAAAACACGTCCACCTTTTAGAAAACTGTCGCCTACACACCCCTTAAAACTACTTTTAAAAAAAAGAGCAACTTAGAGTACGTGTGTGATTCATACCTTCATCATGTTTGGCGCTGGATTTGTTGTTATCGTGTCCGTTTGTTAGTTTTTCACTTTTCGCGCTTTTTGCCTTCTCGCTTTTCGCCGAATTTCGTGCGCTTTTATTCGTCGTTTCATTGGTGGCATCGATGTCACCATTGTTATCGGTCACCGCACTTTTTTGCTCTTGGCTTGTATTGCAACCCATTGTGATAGTATCGTTGTTTCTGTCACGGCACGTCTTCTTCCCTTTTGTTTTTGGTTTTTTTGTTTTTCGTTTTCAATTTGTCGCTGCACCAATTTTCAAAATGAATTATTAAAATCGAGCTTGTTCAAAATTTGAACGGGAACGAATCAAACTATACTGTTAACAAGTCGGTCAACGCGAATGCGGCACTCTTCCTTTTTCAACAAATCACTGTAACAACAGATTCAATTTTTTTTAGCATTTATTTTATTTGGTGTGTGTATGTGTGTGTGTATGTTTTTATCGGTTTCACCATCATCGATTTGTTTTTTTTTCCGTCGTTTTGTTTGTGCTCGTTCGTATTCGGGATGGATACTTCAAACTTAAACGTGTTCTCGTTTTGTTAATTATTATTATTGCTCATCGTTTTTTCTTGTAATCTATTCAAATTTTGAATTTCAAAACAAACTTTGTTGTTGAGACGAACGGATTGACTATCCATCTAACGGATTGGCTTTTTCTTTAAAAATTAAACTCATGATCGATTTTATTCATTTGTCAAATTGAATGCTAACCATTTGGATTTAAATTTGAGTTCAGCTAAGGCATAATTGTGGATTTGTAGTTCATCGATTTTGAGCGCGCTCAAAAAGTCAGATTGTGGGAATATTGCCGCAGCGGAACACGCGAAAAAGTAGTGAAATCCAAGAAAAAGAAAAACTTTTTTCTTTTCTTCTTCTTGATTGTTGTTTATATAAGTCGAGTCAATAAATCGGTAAGCTGAACCCAACCGAAACAAAAATCAAGAATGAAAGTGGAAAAAAAAACTTAACGAAACGAAGTGAAAATGACAGTGACGAAGCAAGAACCAAAAATATGGAACATTAAACTTCATATCGACGCGTAGAAGGATTTTGATGTAATGTTTACATTCACATACGGCTCAGTCACATTACTCAGCTAACTCGAAAGAGAATAAGTGCAAGTCGCACGTACTTCTTAATAATAATAACAGCAAAAATAACCCAAACACACAATGAAAAAAAAAAAACTTTCCAAAGCAGAATGAATGTTTTCGTTTATGAGTGTGACTTGAGGTTTTTTTTTTTTAATTCGTTCGTCAAAGATTCTAGAGACCAAAAGTGAGGAAATGAATAGAAAATGGGAGCGAGTAGAGAAAAAAAATACCATACACACAATGAAGAGAGTAAAAGAAACACATGCGAATCCTGCATTTCTCATATGACTCAAACACGGCTTTGAATATTGTTTAATCAATTTTTACACTTGATTCTTGTTGTTGTCGTTGTTGTTCAAATGACACGTGTCTGCCGCCGTTCGATGGAATCGAACGTGAGTGAGTGTAGGATTATCCTTTGCGGCAATGAATCGCTTCATATGGGCACACTTTAAACATTATTCACTACTTTTCAATTGATTATCGTGCGATGGTTTTTTTTCTTTGAACGTTAAAAACGCAATTCATTCTGAACGATCACAAAAAAACGGTTTTTATATTCGTCTGTATTTTTTTAAATAACAGCACAATTTTAACTAATCAGATTGAAGCACTGACTAAACGACACTACACACTATTTCATTCGTGTCAATTCACTGAACCCTTTTTTTTCTTTTCGGTTTGTTCTTCAATTGTGAACATAAATCGTTAGGAAATGTTTGTGATCTTGGTGGTGTTTTGAATGACGAGCGTGTATTTTACAAACTACCGTCGTCTTAAAAGTTCTGAAACGAATTACCGGAGAGAGAGAAAAAAAAAGCACCACAAAAGCTGGTTCGGCGGTTCTATTGCCGCCACAAACACATATTGACTCCGTAAAGGAAACTCAAATGCCGAATGCCGAGACATTCAAAAGTGGAGCATATTCGCGTTTTAGTATGTCAACGACAAAATTTTCGGTGTGTACGTGTACCACGCTACCGATTATTTGTTTGTTTTATCGCTTCAGTTCGGTGGGTTGGTTTCGTTTTTTTTTTATTCAACGCTCAGACAATAACAACCCAATGAATGAATGTATATGCACACACGAGAATGTTGAATCACCAACAAACAAACAAGCGGCCAACAGCAATTTATCAACAAAAGAGGAAATTTATGCTCCCTTCATATTTTTAAATTGGTTCGACTCTTTTTCAGCCACGGTGATAAATAGCGTTCTCGTTCTTCTTATTTGCGCTTCAGTTGTCTCTGTGTGTGTGTTCGTATGTTTGAAGACTTTCTCACTGACAAACAATGCTATCTGCTTGTACATACAGCTGTTTGTAGCTTGTCGGCTCAAAATCATTGCGCACACCGTACACACAGAACATTTTCGAAATGAACACACATCTATCGACGTGTTTTTTTTTTCTCCACCCAAAATCGGTGTATTCATTCGTTGAGCCGGAAAATTCCAATGAATTGCATGAATTGCATTCACTTGGAGCGTAGAGGAGGACGGGACGCACACCTTGGCAAATGTTTGGCATTTGTCAAGTGACTTGCATTTGTATTGCGACCGCATCTCGTATTCAATTTTAATGCGAAGCAACATGTTGCAATTCACACGTACAAAGAAAAGACGCTTCATTAAAAGGGCTCCATGAAAGTGGCTCAGAACGAGCACGTTTTTACTTCTTCTGCTTCTTTTTTTTTCTGTCGTCGTTGTTGTTGTTGTTATTTCAATTTTATTTATAGGTGATGAACGCTCCGTTACCCAAAATACCTGCTGCCTTATATGAAATTGAAATGTCACCCCGGCCGAAACGAAATATCTTTGCCGCTTAAAAATACCACAAATTCTTGTCTTTCCATTCACATCGATGGATATATTTAGATTAATCGTATTTTCAATCAATTCATAGGTTTACCGAAAAACATAAGCCAGCCTACGTATGTGTATTTTAAAAGAAGAAGAAGACGAATGCTTGAATGAGTCTTACCATGGTTAACTGCCAATTTTTTATGTCTATATTCAATACATATGCTGTTTTTCTACCTGTTCCCAGGAGATAATTAAAATGATGGCAAAATATTGTATGAAAAAAATGGGTATTATTTGAAAACAAATATCACGAATCCAAACAAGGGCTGCCTGATTTATTAACAACAGCTACTCATATCATAACGTTATCCATATGAAATATATGTCGATTAATAATTACAATTTAATCGATAAACCAATCGTTTAGTTCAATTCAAATGAAGCACATTCAAGTTCGATCGATTTTTTTTCTGTTCAAAAGTTTGAAACATTCCACTCGAAAATTGAGTTCAGATTTAAAACTAATTTCCGAATGGACGAGGGAAATAACGCCACCCATTATCGACACTAATTTCAAAAATGTTTCACTCATTTTATATAAAAAGCATTTGTTTTTCACCTTTCGCACCAAGCCAGCTGTAGTACTTACATCCCGTCGGGATAGTCGCGAATGAATTTATTGATTCACACCGGCAGAAATGTGAGCATCAAATAGAGTGCTTTACAACAATGCAACGCAAGAATTCATTTCAAATAGTGTGCGTTTTTTTTCTCTCGCCTCCAGTCGATTGCAATTTCAGCGGAGAGGGAGAGAACAAAATGGTGCTCCATTTCATCTGAAATTCATTAACGGACTGCATTGTGTTGCACACTCACATGGGAAAAAGTGGATGATTAATGCATGTTGAAGATTTCAAAATCAATTTTCAGACTTTTTTTAAAATTATATTCAATACAATTTTTTTTCATGATAAGATGAAAAAAATAAAGCAAAAAAAATCTATTGCGAACGCGACGAGCCGAAAACACTTTGTCGACTTGATTGCTGTTGCAAGTTTGCTTTTGTCATATGACGAAAGGGGGCCACCACTTGTTTCCATCCATTTGAACAGATTGTATCCGATTATTTGTTTTCCATCAAATGTCCATTTCGATAACCAAATGAGTCACCGATGAATTTTGATGCACACCTTTTTTCAATCACAACAACAACAACGACAGCGATAGAAAAAATTCTTCGCTTCGCATTTTTTTCTTCATTGTTTCACCTGTGGAAAATTCATGAAGTCGATCAGTTTGAGTTGAACAACGTTATAATGTTGGGAATTTAGTTGATTCATTCCGTTTTTAGTCTTCTTCTTCTTCTATTTCATCACCCTACACGCCGAACGGAATAGAATATTCAAACGTTGTTCGATAAAGCAAATTAAATCGAATGTATGGGAATTGGCGCAGCGCAAACTATCTCAGAAGCAGGACATACACACAGTCTTTTAATGCGCCTAATTGATTTACCTAAAGGGCTAATTGTGATCTCATAAAGTTTTTTTCAAAGTAACCAGTTGAAAGGAGTGACTGAATGAGTAAAAGATGAGGGAGGGCCGGAAGGAGGGTGCGAGAGAGATTCGAAGTATATTCACTGAGAATGGCAAGCAATTTGGTTTGAAAAATATGCGTTGATGTTTTTTTACATGAAGCGATGTGTGTGTATTTCTATGTGTGATGAGGTGAAAATAGCCTACACACACACATACTCCCAAAAAAAAACATATTGATAAGTAATGAAACATTCATTTGAATATGGCAATCAAATACATTGATCATAACATGCATACGAGAAGCGGATAGAAATAATAATGAGAGCATATAAAGCGCGTTTTATACACGCAACATTGCTACCCCGTTCAAAACCAACCAACGGTTTGATGCACTTTTTTCCGTATATACATTTCGTTGGAGCTCGGCTATATATCATTTACGTGTGTATGCGGTTTTTGATGTGTTTTTGGATAATGAACGATAAGAATGGCTGGCTGAACACAGTAGTACATTCATACAACCGAATATATGTTCAGTGGCGGCAATGATGATGACGATGATGATGATGCACGATGTCGAAAATATACAATTTTTAATGGGAAATACACTCATTGAACTTTTATCCACCACTTGAGATTCCAATAAATAAGAAAATACCTGGAAAACGAAATATTTAAATTTCTCAGACGTTGGCAATGGATCAGAATAAAGAAAAACACCAGCAACACGAAACAATGGAAGTTCAAGGTGCAACCACCTTCATTAATTATTATAATAACAAATCGTATTCCTCTTTTTGCTTTGCTTAAGCAAAAACCAGGGTAGCAAAGAATAACATCACTGAACGGTCTCACATTTCTTGGAACCCGTTTCTTTATGGCTGTCATACATACACGACCGACCGACCGACCGACCGACCGACCGACCGACTCGACCGACCGGTTGAGTCATTGATTTAGTTAGTCATCTCAACTCAGAGGCGCCCCAAAATGGTTCAACTCAACTATGTGTGTGTGTGTGTTAGTATGAGTTTGTGGCTTTTTGGTTTAAGTTTGCATCATATACTTTGAAATTTTGTTGTGCGAATGGAAAAATTATATTTTTTCTCTCCACCACATTACCATATCTCTATCCATCTCACTTTCTTTCCATCCAGTACACAACAATACAAACCAAACCGAACAACGACAAAAAAAATCCCTCAAAAAATGTATTGTATTGTTTGAACATCTCAATTCTCGCACTCGCACTCGCATTCGAAACGCAAGCCACCCAAGGAATTTCCCGCATGAGCGATTCACGTACCCTAGCAACCGTAACACGTTTCGAGTATTTTCGTATCCAGTGTTGTTTATTTGAATGATATCATGAACATTAGATTTAGATAAATGGCGACTGGAAACATCAACAATTTCACATTACACTAACATGTTCCACACGTTCAATGGACCAGAATGATTCCAAATCGAATTGATAAAACGGCCAATGCATCGAATTGTGCAAAAACGATATTGGCTCCTCTTTTCTCCGTTCGGCTTTATATGTCCATCGTCGTCATCCCATTCGGTTAATGAAGATAAAGAAGATGATTGTCTTAAGAATGGGAGTAAATCACTCGATAAGCCCATAAAATGTCACTATTCAAACAATCATTTAATTGATTCTTTTTTATATACGTATAAAGTAGTCTTTCCCCCAAGAAAAAAGTAGACGCACTTCAATAATCGAATCTATCGTGTGAAATCGTTTTATTTCGATAAAAACACCAACACATACACACACACACAATACCCGATTGAGAGACAAACAAAATGTATTGTAAAGAAGAAAAGACGAACGAAAAAATTTGATGAAATTTCTCGTCACTTTTCTCGTGTGAAACACACAAAAATTGATTCACAGCGACGCACGCAACAAACAAAACGCAAATGACACTATATGAAGTGAGTGATGGTGAACGACTGACTGGATAAAAACATCCTGACTATATATGCGTTTCACAATAATTCAACAACAAGCGTCTAACAACACCAACAACAACAACAACACCAGCAGCTCACTCTCGCTCTCGGATGTGTGCACCATCGTAGCCGAACAATCAACCACACAGAATTTCCATTCGTTTTCTCTTTCACACTCCCTTACACTGTGTATGTCCCTCCGTTTCTTAGTCTCGATGGCGGCAGTTCCGTTTTGTTTTCATTTTTGCTAATTTTCCTCTCATTTTATCACTTAGCGGTCACTGTGTCTATGTATGGATCAAATCCTCTTCTTTCGTCGTCCCCCCTCCACAAAAAAAACAGAAACAAAAGAAAAAAAAGAGCCGCAACCATTTGCAGAGTCCGATAACTGTCGCTTCAATTTGACATACAAATATGCAGTCGATTTTATCGTGGTGTGATTCCATAGCATTGATATGATGTGCTAAGACCGAATTGAAATTGAACATACAAGCATACACAGCACCATATCATACATATCATTATGATTACACTCAATCTGAAAGTGCGGCTCCATCAAACATTATGCGTACATACATACGACCACACAAGATACCGAACGGTACGGACTCGTACACATTACATACAATAAAAAAAGGGGGATAGAACTGTGTACACAAAAAAGAAATAGAAGCTTAATGTGCGTTGGATGAGACTATGCAACATATCCAGCCACAGTTCGGTCTCTGTCACTCTTGTCGTCAGTTCATAAACGAATACACATAATATTTAGTGCGGAGCAAGTGAACGTAGAGAGCCAGTCAGCTTACGCTAGACAGACAGCCAAAGAAAGGGACGGAACATGTACAGGGGAGAGAAGATTATACATTGACAGCATGAGATGACGAAATACTCACACATTTTGCGCATACAAAATGACGATAGAACGATTCATCCTGTTGGATGAAATGCTATTTTCGAATTAGCTACATGGTTTTATACAATTCCTTTACAAGGCTCTCGCTCTCTGTTAATGATGAAATAATTCGTGAAATAACAAGTGGCAGCGCGTCTTAAGTGGTAAATTGGTTGTAAAACTTTTAATACAACAATAAATGGAAATCGATTCTATCTAGTGTAAAACCAGTCTCCGAAAAAAGTGAGGACTAAAAAAAAAAAAAAAAAAAAGGTCCTCACTTTTTAAAATCGATTCTATCTAGTGTAGAACAGTCTAAATTCCACAATGGGGGTCTAAAATTTTGCCAATGGGTGTCGAAAAACAAGTGAAGACCTAAAAAAAAAAAAGGTCCTCACTTTTGAAAATCGATTATATCTAGTGTCAATTTTTCCACATCGCTGGGGGGGGGGGGGCCACATTTTGGAAACCCCGGGGGGGGGAAAACCCGGAAAACCCCCCCCCCCCTTGCACACGTCTGGTTGAAAGTACGATTTTCATTTTACTTCTCTACATGTCTAACTGAAGCTTATTGCTACAACTGACATTAAGTAAGTGATCCGTTTCGCCGAAGAAATGGGAAAATCTACAACCGTTACAAACACACGAAATAAAATCAACGCCAACTGAATAATACCAGAAGAATGGGGGGGGGGGGGGTTGAAATGCGCGACCAAATGAGCATCGTAATGTGTGCATATATGATAAAAATGATCCAATAAGACTGACAAACACAGAAATCTCATGCATAATATGTGTATTTGTGACAAATGTCGCCAACACACACATGAAAACGGCTGGTCTTTCGTTTTTTTTGCCCGTTTTGTTCATTCGAAAATTTCTCAACGAAATGACATGTTTAATGAATGAGCCTTTTTAATAACTTCCATTGAATCAAAATCGAAATAATCAATAATACGAATGACAGTGTCATTTTATGATAGATCGCAAGAGTGTGTGCATGAAATTCAGCTGATTGAATGACTTGTAATCATGATTTGCCAGTCCCACTCTCACAGTCGGTATAAAAAGCTTACTGTTGTTCAACATTTAAAAAGCATGCGTTTTTTTTCCTTCTTTTGATAAGCATAAGCGATGGGGATGGAGTGGGCGGTTTGAATGTACATTGTACAAACACAACACAAATCAATGACATCAAACTTGAATCTCTAATGAGAATATATTTGACGATTATGCCGTCGTAACAATACATATTTAAAATCACATCGGCATTAATTCATTATCAATTCAATTTGGAAAATTCAACAAATTGAATATGATTTGCATTTGTTCATTGTGTGTGTATGCGTACACTGTGTGCTGGTGTATTTGCAAAGTGCATAATAAAATTTGTTTCCATTTTCTCTCCTCATCATTATTAAATTCAATTAATTTGATCAATACGACAGAATTATAAAAAATATGCACGCAATTTCACAACTCTCTGGTAGCTGCGTGTATGTTGTTGGGCCGGTTACACTTCATTTAGATTGAAAATGATTCTCTTACCCGATATTGAGTATGCAATGATAAACTTTAATAAACCATAATTTCAATGTGTACATAAATAGAGTTTTTATTGCAGGAGAGAAAAAATCGCTTCAATTTACTATTTGAACTATGGAAAGGTCTTTCTTTATTCCAATATGGAATAGGTCGTTATCCTTTGACCATTTCATTGACATTAACTCGGTATTACTTGTTTGATCGCAACGGAAAATGTCGATTGCACCCTTAAAATGGACAATTTTTCTTTCGATACACCTACACAAAAGAATATCAACATTGAATTATTACATGAAAATTCAATAGTTTAACATTGAATTGGCTGAGGGACAAACAAAATAAAATACCCAACCGCCAACGTTTAATTAGTGTTCAACACCAAAATTATATTGTATATGTGTTACATTTTTTTTCTCTTTCAATGATGGAGTCGAATTTGTGTGCAAAAACGTGTGTGTTATATGTTTATGAAGTTAAATCCAAAATGAGAATTTGCTATACCTTTATAATTCACCAAAGAGATAACATCGAAAAACTGACTGGGTATTGGGAGTTAAAAGGCAGACATTGTGCATATAAACGCATTAATATACAAAAGCTTTCGATTTACAAGTACCGAAACACCACCACCAACAACAAACAGAGAAGGGAAAAAAACGATATTGGATTTTATTTTTAATTTTCTTGTTCGCTTCAATTCATAATATCGATTAGATTTGGGTTGTGTGTCCAGTCGATGACTGTGGCTCAACCAAATATACGACATACACACGAAAGAAGAAGTGAACAAAAAAATGGCATAAAGTGTCGTTGCTAGTGGGATCGCACGTTTCGAGAGGTGGATTGGTGATTTTCAGGTGATATTGGAGATTAAGCCCATGCCATACACACGAGAGCTAATCGCACGATATGAATAGCTTAGCTTTACGCTTAGTATATACATTCTTGATTATTTTATATGCGGTTTTTCTATATTCACCGCTCGCTCTCTCTCTCTCTCTCTCTCTCTCTCTCTCTCTCTCTCTCTCTCTCTCTCCCTATCTGTCTCTTTCTATTTCTGTTGCTTCTGTTGACCAACTATTCTAATTTTAGACGACGTTGCAAATTGAACGCAATCAATGTTGTGTGATCAAAAAAATACACACAAAAAAAGAATGTGTCCCTAGGTGATATGCAACACATGATAGCTACTGAAAAAAGAAACGAATTAACGAAAAAAAAAACCAAACGCTTTTTTTGTCCCTTATCAATTGCAATTGTTGCTTGTAGGCCTCGAGGATATTGCTGTGCAGGTCTATCGAAATCCGATCGTCGGTCGATGATGCTTTTTGTAAAAAAATAAATCTGTTACATGTTAATGCTGCAGTCCAATGCATGCGATATGTTTCAATATAAGCTAACATGCATTTTAATCCGCATTGTCTATTTATTACTCACGGTTTGCATTCATTTGCCAAGCGGCCAATTCAATTTTATCGCGAAAATCCACAACGGGAAAATTCATTACGTTCAACAGCAAGAAGAACTGCAATGATTTTCGTGATCAAACACGACCACACACACACACACACGCTCACACGTAAAGGGAGATTCATGGACAGAACCGAAAAAAATAGAAGCAGAACGCGCACGAAACAGCGACGATCCAAATGGGGAATAGCATGAAGCAGTGCTCTGAAAATCATCTAATTATCATGTAGGTATTTAATGTTTGCCCGTTGAACTGTTTTTTTTTATTAATAAAAATATACGCTGGATATCATTTTTACACATTCAAAATCCGTTTGGATTGACCATTTTCTTTTCATTTTTGTTTGTTGGTTCAGCACTTGTGGTGCATGCAAAATATTATGGAATGGTAACGAGTCACGAAACGAAACGAAAAACACGTCTAATGACATTGCATGCCAACGCCAAATATTTGATAGTGTGTGTGTCATTCCCACTGTTGGTCACGTCTTCTTTCTCTCTCTCTCTCTCTCTTCTCTTGTTTATTAATTACCATAGTCCGATGGTTATGAACCGCAAAATGCCAGCTGAGACCAAACAACAGAAACCAAAATGTGCAGACTGCTTATTCTCATGAAATCTGCTCGCTCTCTCTATCTCACTCCCTCTCGATGTCGTATATTATTAGACCGGACAGAAGTTGACATCCAGATAATTAAGTAGTTTTGCTGGTTTTCCATATTCAACAAACGAATTACTAATTTGCCATAACAAACGGTATGGAAAAACAAAAAAAAAACCTGCTAGCGTGGTGGAGGTTGTTGTTCACTGGTGGTCGTCACTGACGATGTCGCCGTTGTTCTTTTATAATCACAAATATTAATTTACGGTCCTGTTTATTTAACTGTTCATCGCCTTGTTCGTTTTTAGTTGCTGTTACTGTTGTTGCTCGCCTTTGTTTCGACACCATTGTGGCCCACAATTATGTGGGTGCAGCCACAAGATTTGTTACAAGGTCTCGCAATTTTCTCATTTTCCTTGACGATTTTAACACGTCAGTGTTTCTTTTTTAATTATGGTCTCACGCGTATCACACTTTTTTTCCTTTTTCCACCGTCAAATCCAAGGTTTTTTCTCTCATTTTATTTCCATTTTTCACCCTTTGACAAATGAAGAGAATTTTATTTCTTTTTATTGAAACTGTTCATTCCATTGCCATTTTTTTTCCTCGGGGAATTTGTTGCCGTTGCATTTGGAAATAATGGAATAAATCAAACTTTCTGAATGGAGAAGAAAATGGTATGTGCGAATATTGATTAGATTGAAACTGTTGAATTAAGGTGAATCAGGAGAATTTTTTTTAAATTAATCGAAGTTAATTTAGATGTTAGAGCTATTGTTAGAGCAAAATTGTACACAATTACGTCCGATCTAGTCTTACTATGCAGTGTAACCAGTAGAAAGACAAATTCAGTTTAATTCGTTAATTATTTGTTGATTTTTATTAGGCATCCATGAATCTTTTCTACTTTGATTGAAAATTGTATTGTAAAATTTTTTTGTTGTAAACAACCATACTGACTAATTCCCTAGGCTCTTACGATAGCCAGGGAAATACAAAATATCTCCATAACAACAAAACAGTTATTGAGGTTATATGTCTAAATAATGAATTATTGCTCTTGTGCTTCAAATATGCCAATTTTCCAAGAACTTAATTGAAAGAATGCGCTTGAAGGTGTTAAATAGTATAGTATGATCATATGTGGGTATATCGAATACTCACTATCATATTTAAGTATAATGTGTCCGATAGTAAATTACTATAAGTAATTTCCATGATCCCGAATTGCTAAGAATATTCTCAATAAATTCGAACCCATGTCATCATTTGTTCATTCTTCATTTCTATAGGTGAGATCGAGAGTGGTGTATGTTACACTGATTTGGTTGTGAAAGAGAAGAGTAAGTTTCTTCCGACTTAAAAATGGTTAAAAGGGGAGTATGTTCATTTTTGGTGGGTCCTCGCGGTTTTTCACGGTTTCCGCGGAACTGATAAGAGATAACAACATGGTGTCTTCGGCAAAGTTGTACTACTCGAGATCTTCTATAACATTGCTGAAAACAGTTATCTCTTATCTCTTATCAGTTCCGCGAAAAACGCGAAAAATGATAAGAAAAAAAAGTTCTATATAAAATTTGCTTTTTCATGTGCGCGATTTGCGCGCAACTGATAAGAGATAAGAGATAACTGTCTTCAGTCAAGTTATAGAGGACCTCGAGTACTACAACTTTGCTCAAGACACCATGTTGTTATCTCTTATCAGTTGCGCGAAAACCGTGAAGACCGCGGAGGCTAGACGGTACTAGAACATACTCTCCTTTAATGCCAACAGAATCATCAGAAAACATACTCCTCTTTTTCTCAAAATAAGTCGACAAAAAATACTTACTCCACTCTCGATCTCACCCATAGATTTAATAGTTACGCTTTAGATAAGCTGGGCCGTTAAATGTACTTTATCATTTGAATGAAATTTCAAATATTTAAATTCCAAATATTTACCACACCTCACACTTTGGTTTGAAATTTATCACGAAATCGATTTTTTGTCCCACAAAGTTTACTTTTTTTCACAATTGAAGTGAACAAAAATCCCTTAAATTATTTGTCGATTTACGGTTGCTAAATGGACAGCAGCAATAATTTTCCAATAATCAATTTGTCATGATAATCGATATACATTTGTCTTCGATAACAACGTGTCTGGGAACAAATGCATGTGATAATAAACTTGAGACTCACGAATATTCTGGTCAAAAGTTGAAAATGTGTTCAAATTCCGTGACAATGAATTCTGATTACAATTATTGAATAGTAAAATAATTCGAATACATTATTTGAAGAAATGAGCATTAAAACAACGACAGTCATTTGCTTAACTGCTGCAAAATTATTTTGTTTTTATTACAAAGTGCTTAGATTAATTGGCCATTGATTGACCGTGCAAAGCAATAATATAAATCATTTTTCTTAATCTGAATCGTCTTTTTCATCTTTTTTATTCGGATTGTGTTCAGTTTCATCCGTATTTTCCGGTTTCGAGTCTTTTTCGCTAGGTTCAACATCACCTGATGCCGACTTCTTGTTATCGACATCATCATTTGAATCGCTGTCACTAGACTCTGAATTTTGTGATTCGTTGGCCATAGCATTTTCATTTGGCTTTCGATGTTTGGCACGTTGCTTCTTCTTCAGACGTTTGGCGCGTTTTTTCGCCGTTTTCTGCTCAGCCAACAAACGATTCTGTTCGATTTTTCGGCGGAAGTCATCTTCCATTTGCTCCTAGAATGGTTGCATTTTATGTGTGAAATTGAGATTTAGTTCACATTCGAATTTGTATTTAAATTTCATTTCCACAACAGAAATCAATTGAATTTACCTTTACACCTTGTTGTTGTATTTGCTTTTGTCGCGCGTACTCCTTTCGACGTAAATGTCTGTATACATGGAACTCTCCGCTGCCGGCACCAGCACTCGAACCCATTACATTTCGCACGAATGACGGCGTTTCACCGATACCATCACCGCCATTCTTCTTCGAATTCAATTGGGGAATATTCACTTCTTTTTGCTGCAAATCATCAAGTTCAACATGATTTATTATTTATCAAAAATACTGAAAATATTAAGAGAGAATGAATAATGACTTCACCGTACTGGATTCTTCATCAGTTTCTCCAACTTGATGCGCTGTATATCGGTTGGCGTTCTCGCCACAAATTTCGGCTTATCCTCATTATTCTTTCCCTTCTTCTCTTCCACTGAATCCATTTTACTTTTGCTGTGTGGATAATTTATTTGGTTTGTGTGATTTCGTGTCGATTCGGTGTTTGTTTTCAATTTCGAGAATATCCGACGCAACTGTCAAACGTTTCACTTGACAGCTTGAAATGACAGCTGCTGCTTTTCAATGTTTCACTGTTGCATTTGTTGAATTTCATACGTTCAACCATCGTTATGGAAAGAATTGACAGAGAAAATGAAGAAAAAAAATATTTTCAATTTTTTTTTTCAATATTTCTTGGATTTTTTTGATAAGAAAAACATGGAAAACGAATTTCGTTCTGAAAAATGTCTAAAAATCTAATCAAAATGCGTTGATTCGTTATTGAATTGGCAGCGATGGTGCTGCCATTTGTAACACGTTCGAAGTGGAACAATAACAAAGAAAACCAATACAACACCACCAAAAAAAAACTCCGTCTATTCAATGGCATTAGTCATAGTGCATCGCATAGAAATGAACGGCACCAATACACTCCTCCATTCGAACTGATATTTATGTATATTATGGACTGATAGACGCATACGGTGATGCGATGCACACCAACACAGACAAATGCTTCGCGGCAACGTATTTCACGCAAAAAAAACGTCCATAGCGTGCATGTGCTTTTCGCGCCATCAAAGATGCAGGGTCTTTAAAAAAAACACACACACAAACCGTACACACCAGACACGCTAACGAACTGCATCTGTGTATGTCGTTTTGTTTATTTGTTTGTCGTTTTTTTCTCTCGTCTGTTGTTACGTTGTCGTTTGTATTTGCGGTTCATTTTTCAAAGAGTTTCAGAGTCTTGTCTGTGCAAGATTCATTTCATTGTTGTGAGACTAAACGAAGCAAGTAGGTAAGAGTTTTCTCTCCATTTTAATTTTTGTTGGTTTTTTTTCTTCTTCTTTTGCTCAATTTTCAATTTACTTGAACGTGTTAAAATGATTTTTTGTAATTTTTAAGCAAAGTGCATTAATCGTTTCATAAGTATTTTATTGCGTACATGTTTTTTCCCTCTATAAAAGCACCGTTTCAATTGAAGTGTGTGTAGAAATCACAACAACACAATCATTTGGCATTTATCGTTTGATGCAATTCAATTCCCTCGTTTGGTGTGCATTGAAATGCGTTCGTAATAAACACCTAAAATACTTACGAATCGAACGTTTTGGAATTTCCATCGCGTGTGTTCACGTAAATTCTGTCTGTAGCATTCCAAAACAAAAAAATGTAGAAATTCTGTTCCGTTGGCCTAAAAAAAAATATGATCAAGAATTGCGTATGAAATGCAGGAAAAAACTCATTTCACTTTGATAAAATATCAGCATTGAGTAGATAAAACTGGAAACTAGGCTTCTTTTGTTTATTGCTCTTGAGCATGATTAATCCTGTATACGAAGAAACCACCATTTTTGTGAACGGAAACTGAGAGAGAGAGAGAGAGAGAGAGAGAGAGAGAGCAAAACGAAAATGTTCGTATGCTGTATCGCACTTAGTCGTGCACGTGTGCAAAACGCACAAAGAATCAAAGAAAGCAACATAGAAAATAAAACGAAGAAAGAAAGAAGAAGAAGCAGCATACAAAACTGTTGCTAGTTCTGTATATTTTTTGAAGGCTTCGATTCACTCTGTGAACGTTGCGTTGCGTGTATGCGTGTGTTGTTGTTGTTATTACCTGTTTCTGGCTGATTCATGCCGTTGCTTAATTTCATGGTGCAACAAGTGTAATTTAGACGAAAGTGCGGAAATAAAGAAGAATTCTGCGAAGAAATTTTTTTTTGAACGCGCAGAAGTATATTTTTCACCTTTGCCAATGTTGTTGTTTCAAGAGATAAGATCCGTTTCGTGTGTAAAGATAAAAAAATGCGTTTTGTTTCAATGTTTCAGGTAAAAAGCAAACAAACAATTTATAATGGGTTCACCGATAGAAGGAACACCGATCGATGGCAAAGCAGAGAGCAAAAACGATACAACTGATGCATTGCCTGGTGGCATGACGTAAGTTTTATCCATTTTTTCTTATAAACATACACAAAACAAAAACGAAATTACGAATATTTCAACGAATGATTTTCGATTTATCGTTTTTTTTCTCGCTCACTCGTTTTGTTGCATACTTGAAATTAATGTGCTACGATGTTACTTACTGCGGATTTGCCCTTCGCGCTGATGTCAAACCGTCATGCTGTTTGACTGCACACATTCCACCACCTCCACCACCACCACCAACAACGCATACACATCATGTGCAATCAATGCAGCCGAAATCATTCAAACGCAGCGCGCGTCGCACGTATGCCAACTGACCGGTATGCATCCGAGTACAATATGAGACACAACAAACGGGGTATGGCCATCGTTTTCAACCATGAGCACTTTGATATTCCGACATTGAAATCACGTACTGGCACCAATGTTGACTGCGAAAATCTAAGACACACATTGGAGACGCTCCAGTTTGATGTTGTGGTACACAAGGATTTGCGTTTGACCGATATTCATCAGAAAATTGAAAACCGTGAGTAGTATTTCGCTTATCATACACAAATACGTACATATACACTCAATCAAGTTAAAAAGTTGGAGAGAAGAACACATACGCTCCAATACACAGAGGGAGAGTGAGATAGAGAGTTAGAAACGTTTATTTCTTTTTTGGCATATTCTGAAAATTGATGACGTGCATTGAAATAAGAACCAAATGAATGAAATCAACCTTGGCTTTGTTCTTGTCCTTGTCCTTGTCCATCAAATTTACTGCTTTTGAATTTGACTTGCAATTCATTCACTTGGAACTCTATTAATTTGCAATTTGTGTTTGTTCTTTTTTGGGGTGACATCGTTCTCATTACAGTTGCCAACGCTGATCATTCGGAACATGACTGTTTATTGATATCGATTTTGTCGCACGGTGAATTGGGTTACATCTATGCCAAAGATACGCATTACAAGCTCGAGAATATATGGAGTTTTTTCACTGCACCACGATGCCCTACATTGGCTGGCAAACCGAAGCTGTTCTTTATCCAGGCTTGTCAAGGTGATCGCTTGGATGGTGGCATCACGCTCAGCCGCACGGAAACCGATAGTAGCGATAGCCAATCGATGGCATACAAAATTCCAATCCATGCCGATTTTCTCATCGCCTATTCCACAATACCCGGTGTGTATATATGACGACAAAAAATGCGAATGCACGCAAGATAAGATTATTTCTTCTTTTTTTTTGTAAAAGATAAATTTAGATCGTGAAAGATTGATTACACATATAAAAAAAAACAAAAGAAAAATCTGTTTAGAAAAACTAAACATCGAAAGAGAAGAAAGTATACGTTTTATGCGGTTTCTCTTTTACGACTCAGTAAAAAAAAAACAGTCATCAAATAATCTTATCAAAGTCTTGCGCATTTTTTTGCGATATTTATTGCGTATAAAATGAATTACTCATTTCCGATTTGATTGTGTCAAATTTAGGTTACTACTCATGGCGAAACACCACAAAAGGTTCATGGTTTATGCAGTGTTTGTGTCAGGAGCTCGAGCAAAATGGTAAAAAATACGACATTCTGACGCTGCTCACATTTGTGTGTCAACGTGTGGCCATTGACTTCGAATCGAATACACCCGACAATCCGATCATGCATCAACAGAAGCAAATTCCATGCATCACGACGATGTTAACACGGCTGTTGCGTTTCCATGAGAAATAAACCAACATTTCTTTGTTGGTTTGATTCCATCTCCGTCATGTGCAAATTCTCGTGCTCGGAACAAAACGATTAAATTAACTCACCCATTCAAAAAAAAAAAACAAAACAAAAAACAAAAAAACCAACAAAACCATTTGCCATTTGACCAATTTTCATCGAACAAAGCATTACTTAATCCTTTTTTTTCTATTTTATTATTATTGTATTTACAAATGGAGCGACGATTAGTTACTTGCCATATAAACTGGAACACTCTTCACGGTCTCATCGGCCGTTCACATTTTTTAAATGCATTCCATTTTATATTGCAAATAGAAACAGGGCGAAAAAAAGAGAAGAGATGAGAAATCGTCGACAATTTTATTGTTGTGATAAATCATTGATCACATAAACCATTTATACACGTCAACATACACACCCACGAAACAGGCGGTAATCATCGCTAGGTCGATTGAACAAAACTATAAAATTGTATTATTTTCTCTCGATTCAATTGAATTGGTCGTTTACACTGTGCTTTACGACAATGACATCTGTTCCATGTCACAATAATGTTTGCATTTATTTTACGTTTTTTTTTTTTTAAACTTGTTCAAAAATCATCATTGCCAACGAAAAGTACAATGTCAAATGCATTTTTTCTTATTCACAATTGAAAACACTGCCCTTTTTTTTTCTTTGTGGTGCTTTTTTATCGCACACTTTTTGATTGCAAATGCTTTAGACCAGAAACTGCACAATTTTTTTAAAAATAAATTTTCTACTTGGAACGCAATCGAACAAACACTTTTTCTAAAACGACGCAACAGAAGAACAGAAAACCAAATAAAACAAAATGAATCTTTTTCTAAACTAAACAATAGTTTTCGAAGCAAACGAACAAACGAAGTATTTTTGAGAGAATTCACATTTTACAATTGTATTTAAAGGGATTAGAAAATAGTTTAAGCATCTTTGGACAGAATCGAAATAATTGTTTTAAGTAACCGTTTTCACATGTTCATATCATACAATTGACATAACAAAGAATCTCTCTTGATTTTTTTTTTCTTTTTGCGGAATTTCATTTTTGGCTCGTGAAATTATCCGTGATAACTTTTTCTTCTTTCAAATCTTTTTTTTTATACATATTTTTGCACAACTTTTTACTTTAACTTTGGTTTTAATCAAAATGTGCCAATTTATTTTCATTTACATATATGACTATAGTCGAAAAAATCAAAACAAAAAATTTATCGTAGTTGAATTGATTGGGAAAAGTCACAATTTAGAATGTATAAATGAAATTGACTGGATTGTTTTTCTAGCTACGAACTGATTGGAGATTTGAAGTCATGAATTCTTTTTTTTTCATTGGAATTTTCTAGTTAGGTAAAAAAATTTGTCATCATTCAAAATTGCACTATGCGTCAATTGATTTTCGAATTTTCAAGACATTTCCAATAGATTTGCATGAAATTTTAGACATTTCAATGGTTTTTTCAACCCAAAATTGTTATGCACACCATTTTTCTCAATTTTAATGAAATATTATAACAGATGAAAACTTATTTTGTAGAGATATATATTGAATAAAAATAATATTATTGAATTGTAAACACTTGATTTGTTTTTTTTTAAAGAGTGTAATGTAATAGAAACACAAAATCATACTGTCTGCCTGGGGCATTATGTCCTCCACTCTTTTTTGATATTCGCAGCGCAAATTTGACATTTCATAAATTTTTGAAGGAAGATTTTTTTTCTGAAATAATAGCAAATGGATGGGCCGATGTTCAAATTCTATTTAACCTTTCAAGGAGCTAACTTTCTACGTTTTGCATCAATAAAACGCAAAAACAAAAGAGAGAAAAGGGAGACTAGAAGGGAGAAAGCAAGAGTGGGATAGACAAACAAACAAAGAACATTTGAAAAAGTGAAGATAAATTCAGTCGTTCAGAAGCTTCCAAAACGTGTAGTTGCTTCCTTTCAAATATCCAACAGATTGATTTTTTTTTCTTAAAAAAAGAGCACAGAGATTGCTCATTTTATCGGTTCCACTAGAATCGTCGGCCGTTTATCAAATAGGGTGGAGTTTCATGGTGAAGTTATTTTTTTTCTTGACTCATACTTTCTCCCACCAAGAAAACATGTTATAGAAATCATTGAATTAAATAAATTAAAGAACATCTAAACTGAGTTTACTGCGAACAACATCTCTCTCAATTCGTGCACGAACGAGTCAGTGTGACAGTTGGTGTGAGCGGGACAAAGTTCGACAGCAAACAATTTGGTTGTGTCAGTTTAAATGTTCTTTCATTGTTGTGAGACTAAACGAAGCAAGTAGGTAAGAGTTTTCTCTCTATTTTAATTTTTGTTGGTTTTTTTTCTCCTTCTTTTGCTCAATTTTCAATTTACTTAAACGTGTTCAAAAGATTTTATGTAATTTTTAAACAAAGTGCATTAATCGTTTCGTAAGTATTTTATTGCGTACATGTTTTTTCTCTCAATAAAATCACCATTTCAATTGAAGTGTGTGTAGAAATCTCAATAACACAATCATTTGGCATTTATCGTTTGATGCAATTCAATTCCCTCGTTTTGTGTGCATTGAAATGCGTTTGTAATAAACACCTAAAATTCTTGCGAATCGAACGTTTTGGAATTTCCATCGCGTGTGTTCACGTAAATTCTGTCTGTAGCATTCCAAAACAAAAAAATGTAGAAATTCTGTTCCGTTGGCCTAAAAAAAAATATGATCAAGAATTGCGTATGAAATGCAGGAAAAAACTCATTTCACTTTGATAAAATATCAGCATTGAGTAGATAAAACTGGAAACTATGCTTCTTTTGTTTATTGCTCTTGAGCATGATTAATCCTGTATACGAAGAAACCACCATTTCTGTGAACGAAATGGCAATAGAGAGGAAGAGAGAAAAAGAAGCAGCATACAGAACAGTTGCTGATTTTATGTAGGAATCATAAATAGGTTAAGGAAATATTTTTTTGAGGCTTAGACTCACTCTGTTAACGTTGCGTTGCGTGTATGCGTGTGTAGTTGATGTTATTACCTGTTTCTAACTGATTCATGCCGTTGCTAAATTTTAGAGTGCAATAAGTGTAATTTGGACGAAAATGCAGAAATAAAGAAGAATTCTGTGAAGAAAAAATTGTTTGAACGGGCAAAAGTACATTTTAACCTTTGCCAATGTTGTTGTTTCAAGAGATGAGATCCGTTCCGTGTGTAAAGATAAAAAAATGCGTTTTGTTTCAATGTTTCAGGTAAAAAGCAAACAAACAAGTTACAATGAGTTCACCGATAGAAGGAACACCGATCGATGGCAATGCAGAGAGCAAAAACGATACAACTGATGCATTGCCTGGTGGCATGACGTAAGTTTTATCCATTTTTTCTTATAAACGTGCACAAAACAAAAACGAAATTACGAATATTTCAACGAATGATTTTCGATTTATCGTTTTTTTTTTCTCGCTCACTCGTTTTGTTGCATACTTGAAATTAATGTGCTACGATGTTACTCACTACGGATTTGCCCTTCGCGCTGATGTTAAACCGTCATGCTGTTTGACTGCACACATTCCACCACCTCCGCCACCTCCACCAACAACGCATACACATCATGTGCAATCAATGCAGCCGAAATCATTCAAACGCAGCGCGCGTCGCACGTATGCCAACTGAATGGAATGCATTCGAGTACAATATGAGACACAAAAAACGGGGTATGGCCATTATTTTCAACCATGAGCACTTTGATATATCGTCATTGAACTCACGTACTGGCACCAATGTTGACTGCGAAAATCTAAGACACACACTAGAGACACTCCAGTTTGATGTTGTGGTACACAAGGATTTAAGTGAGGCCGATATTCACCAGGAAATTAGAAAAAGTGAGTAGTATTTCGCTTATCAAGCATACACACTCCAACATGTTTAAATCTATCGAGAAAGAGACCAATAATCGTTTATTTCTTTTTTGGCATATTCTGAAAACTGATATAAGAACCAAATGAATGAAATCAACCTTGGCCTTGTTCTTGTCCTTGTCCATCAAATTTACTGCTTTTGAATTTGGCTCGCAATTCATTCACTTGGAACTCTATTAATTTGCAATTTGTGTTTGTTCTTTTTTGGGGTGACATCGTTCTCATTACAGTTGCCAACTCTGATCATTCGGAACATGACTGTTTATTGATATCAATTTTGTCGCACGGTGAATTGGGTTACATCTATGCCAAAGATACGCATTACAGGCTCGAAAATATATGGAAATATTTCACTGCACCGGAATGCCCCACATTGGCTGGCAAACCAAAGCTGTTCTTTATCCAGGCTTGTCAAGGTGATCGATCGGAAGGAAACAACACACTCAGCCGCACGGAAACCGATAGTAGTGATGACAAATCGAAGGAGTGCAAAATTCCAATCCATGCCGATTTTCTCATCGCCTATTCCACAATACCCGGTGTGTATATATGACGACAAAAAATGCGAATGCACGCAAGATAAGATTATTTTGTTTTTGTAAAGGATAAATTTAGATCGTGAAAGATTGATTACACATATAAAAAAAAAACAAAAGAAAAATCTGTTTAGAAAAACTAATCATCGAAAAAGAAGAAAATATACGTTTTATGCGGTTTCTCTTTTACGACTCAGTGAAAAAAAATCAGTCATCAAATAATCTTATCAAAGTCTTGCGCATTTTTCCTGCGATATTTATGTTTCTAATCTACATTTATTGTATAAAATGAATTACTCATGTCCGATTTTATTGTTTTAAATTTAGGTTTCTACTCATGGCGAAACACCAATAAAGGTTCATGGTTTGTGCAGTGTTTGTGTCTGGAGCTCAAGCAAAGTGCAAAAAAACATGATATTCTAACGCTGCTCACCTTTGTGTGTCAACGTGTGGCCAAGGATATTGACTTCGAATCGAATAGTAACGACAATCCGATCAAAAAACAAATTCCATGCATTACGACGATGCTAACTCGGCAGTTGTGGTTCTATGAGAAATAAACCGTTTTTCTTGTTGTTGGTTTGATTATTTCTTAATGTGTGCTTGAACATTTTCGCGCTCCGACAAATCGATTAAATTAACTCACACATTCACATTGAAAAAAAAAACGAAAACCAACAAAATAATATGTATTGAATAAAAATGATATTATTGAATTGTAAACGTTTGATTTGTATGTCTTTGGTATTTGCAGCGCAAATTCTGCATTTATTCAGAAATTTTTGAAGGAAGAATTTTTGCTGATCTTTTTCCATTCATTCAAATCAATTGTTACCGTGTATATTGAAAAGTGAGCATTTATCACAAACAAATTAACGCACAAAGAAATAATTACCTATTAAATAAAAGAATAAAATTCTGTACTTGGATCTGATTCGTCTGGTGCGTGCTAAAATGGCAAGTGAAGTCAAAATGAGTCTTGAACGAGAAAATTTTGAATCGAATCATATTGTCATAACAACTGATTTTGGACAACCTATCAAAGAACAACAAAGAAGCTTCAGAAAGAACAAGAAATATGGGAAACTGGCTCCTGTCAGCAAAGATATTGATAACAACGAAGGAAGTGACTCGGGAAATGACAATGAACCCCAACTGGGGGAGGATGAAAGCGTCGAATGTTATGAGGAAGAAGAAGAAGAAAGCAAAATTGATTGCTAAGACAACTCCTACGATTTCGAAATGAGTGAAAAAGAGATGGCAGACGAAGCTTTACGCTACAGTGAAAATGATTACGAAATTAAAACGTTAAAAGAATCCTAATGTTATCCTATACGAGCTATTGACTACAGAGCAATTACTAACACAGTTACATCAAGCTCGCCAGATCATTGACATGTGAGTGGATCAAGCTCAGACGTGTGCAAGGTCAAAAATTCTAGGGGGGGGGGTGTGTAAAATGATTTTGCCAAAGAGGGGGTGAAAAATTTATTAATGGGGGTCTGAAAATTTATAAATGGGTGTCAAAAAAAAAATTAAGACCTAAAAAAAAAAAAAGGTCCTCACTTTTGAAAATCGATTATATCTAGTGTCAAACTGTCGAACTTTTCATACACATTTTTCATTTTTTATTATTAGATCAGCCGGGCCAAGTGATGGCCGGCTTGTATACAGTATACTATACAAACCGGCTATGTATATCATATGAACTGTTTATGCGCTCGAGCAAATTTTCAAGTTAACCAACGTTCTTTTTTCAATGCATAGCTATCAAGATTTATATCATAAAAATGATATTGTCCTGAGAAGAGAAATGAACCAAATTTGAATTTTGAACTATGTGCAAAGCTGTAGTTAAAGAGCGAAATTAAACGCAAGCAATTGCTGAATTGAATATTTGTTGTTCGACATACTTTGTGGAACACTAATGAGCATATCCAAAAATGAAGTTTCATCAAAATGATTCCGAGAATTATAGTTGTTGATTTTGACAATCAAAGATTTTGATCAACCAAAACAGGAAAAAACAAAAAATATTATCAAAAAAATAAATATTTATTTAATTTCGGTTTATTTGAAATTACAAACAAAAACAACATCAGTATTCAATATTCATGCACTCGTTATGTGGGAAGAAAACAATGTAATTTATTACTACTACGTGGAACTGACCACAATTCAATTCATAATTATCAATTAAAAAAAAACAATGTGTACAAAGGTGGAGAAAAGGCATTTGCAATTACATTTTACGCTAACATTTGTTGACAAATCAATGAAAATGTTGTTGTGTGAAAAAAAGCAGAGAAATTTTTTTTAACCATTAAATTTTTTTTGATATGAGTTATAATTTAGGAGAAATTGCCATTCAGCCAATATGAATGTTATTACAATAAATTTATCAACATTCCACAAAGTCGCTTGCTGCACATGCTGATCAGAATTTCAATAAGTTTCCATATGCAATACCGATTTTGGGCTGAAAATGATCAAATAAATATAGAAATCACATTGTTTATATGTGTTTCCATCATTTCGGCCTGTGGTGTAAGTCACAAAAAATTTTTAAAACAAAAAATCTGAATAATAACATAAAATCAGTCTATAAATGTGCTTTGGTGTATACAATCCCTGAAACCCTACGCGCACTCCTCGTCGGGCCGATCTGACTGAATGATCGTGTTTCATGAAATGCGTGTGCTACGCAATAGTGATGGTCAGTGATTTGGGTACATTTCTTAAAATGTCTTGAATATTGAAATCGTTTGGTGCATTTGGCATTTGATCAGTTGGTCGATCATAGTTGTACAACTGATCGATCGGAAATACTTCCGTAACGACGGTATTGAATGTCATTAGGATTTCATTTGATTCATTTGGTCGTTTCCAAGCCATGTTCGGTTGTATTGTATTGTGTTCACTGATATCCATTTCATGTGGTATCGATGTCATGTGCTGGCTTAATTCATGCCGTTTCCCTCTGCATCCATTGTTTTCATAGTAAATGGATGTGCCCAATTGTTGTAATTTTTTGAAAATATTGATGCGATTGCCAAACGATTCGGAACGTTTGAGTGTCGATAATGGTTGCGACATATGAGTTTTTTGCCGTCGATATTGTGAGCGTGTCAAATGATATGTGGGAATTTTGAGACGTGCTGATAATTTTCCATTGCTTCGCATTGAAAACCTACAGGTTCGGCACAGTGTTCGTTGTCGGCTATGCATTCGATTCGAATGTTTTCTAATTAATTTGCCGCAGCGTTCACAGTTCCTGTGCATGTCCGGTGTGCCATTCAATTCGATGATTGTAGCGGCCTGTGGATGTGCATTCAATTCACTGAGATCATTACACTTCTGCTTGTTTGGATAGTATAGATATTTTTTCAATCGATCCCGTAGCGTTTGAATCACATTGTTTACATCCACATTTTCCACGTTCTCCTCATCATCATCGCTGACGATAATCAACTCATTCGCATCGGTGCAATGTCGATGATCATCTGGGAAAATTAAAGAGAAAAAAAAATGTTAACCAAAATTATTATTTTGATCCGCTGTATTTCTTTTGGCTGTTGATCGTTTATGTATATGCATTTATATATGTACGCTGAACCTATAAAGTGTGTTCAGTGGGACACAAGAGGTGAGCGCTCCATGATTATTATGCGAACAGCTGCACATTTTGTATTGTGTCTAGCGCGCACGCGACAATAAAAACAATAATGAGATCAACAACAACAACACCATAACCGACCACGGCAACGATAACCGAAAAAAAACACACACACACACACACTCAAGCCGACAGTCTTTTCTGGCGCATATGTATATGCTTTCAATTTAGAGTCAGCCTTAATTCGTCATACGCATTATACATAAATATTCGGTTACTACTTACCACTTGTTTTCGTTGCGGTTTGTTTGCCGTGCGCATTGGCTGTAATTGCTGCTGACATTGTGGATGATGTGGTCTGTTCTTGTGCATCTTCGTGACTACTATCATCGCTCTTCTTTTGCACCGTGTACCAATTGATTAGCCAATTATTGCAACTGTAGCACAAGAACTTATCATCGTTCAGTGGTCGCATTTTAAACTTTTCACTTATCACATCGATCATGTTTGGGCCACAACGCGGCTCATGAATATTGATTATTAATGTGGTGCGACCGCCGCAAATGAAACAGACTTTTTTCTCACGATTTTCACTCGTTTCCGTCGCCGATTCATCCTGCTTTGAATCCTCCGGCGAGAATTGTTTGCAATTATTCGATGACATCTTTTGAATTTCGGTTGATTTTTTTTTTTGGCGCAATCCTTAATAAATAGGATTTCTGAGCTCTTTTTCTAAAACTCTTCTCTCAAATCTACGTTTGAAACTCTTCGTTTGAATTTGCAACGGAATCAATCTCGACTTTCTTCAATTCAACTGCACTTGAATCAAATGAGCGCCAATTGATACACACCGTTGTCGTTTCTAGGCAACAGATCGGTTGAACTTTAACATAATCTTCCGAATTTATTCCGTATTTTATTTAAATAATTTCTTATTTTTTGGCAATTTCACTTTGGATCAATTCTCTCTATACAAATTTAGAAAAAACTATTCGTAAACTTTGGCCCAAAATACAGTCGAAGAGACGAAAAACAATAACAACGATTCGAAAGGAAGAAACTCGATTGATTCACAGCAAACAGTGCAAACGGTATCGATGGCAGCAGCATCAAAACCAAAATAATGTAAACAGAAGTGATCGAGCATAAGGGTAACTCGGAACTCGAGGCGCGCATATACAGTGTGTTTGTGCGTGTGCAAAGAAAAACACAACAGCAACCGAGTGCGAGAATTATTGTTGTGTGCATTGTGCGAGTGTGTGCGTTTGTGTGTGTCATATATGTCCACATGGTGCCGTCAACGGTACCTTCAATATACCTACTTCTCTATCTACATGTAGAGTGCACTCCGGATCCGGTATAGAAAACTAGGAGAAACATAGGAATAAGACTAAAAACCATAGCCGTAATATGTGTGTATGCATGCCATTCAACGCAAATACACACATCCCAGCTCGGCCCAGCACACCAAAAACAACAACAAATTATATGGCATTGCCAATGAACGTTTTGCTTGTTACCGACTACAAAGTGCACCTTTAAAAATTAATTGTTATATACTTTTCTACGATGTTGATACAAGGAGACAAGCAGCAACAACACCAATCAACATTAAGACCCTTTGGTAACATTGACTCGAATCGATACATAAACCTTTCGAACGAAAAAAAAAACCTTCACTAGAAACACAATATGTTCAGCAAATACCGTATTTGAATAGTCTTTCATTTTCTCTTCTCCTCTTTTCATTCTCGGTCCGTTATTACATGTTGCTCCTATTCCTTTGGTTCGTGCTATACGAAGGTTTTTATTTTTTTTTGTAACGTTATTTTTTTCCTGTTCATATTATTCATTTCTTTCGAGAGTGTGACACGATTTTATTTTTCGGTAATAGAACCGTCACACCATCGGTTTCGTCTTCGTCGGCGCGCCATACCAAACAGCTGAATCCTCCGACAGAAGGAAAAGAAATCTCTTCAATAATTTTTGGTGTGCTTGTGTGAGTGTGTTATTGAATGACGTCGGATGAGTTTCATTTTTGCCATTGTTCGATATTGTCGTACGCACACAATGCGCGTGATTTGATGAATCGAAAAAGATGTGTGGTTGAATTGAACATTGCACCCGTGTGTGCAACATAGCACACATTAATTGGTTGATATAGTATTAAACCAGAAACCCGTACAAATCGGCCGATATAGAAAAATGGTATTTCCGTCTTTGTCTCCCACATCCTATTCGAAGCGAGCTAGGTCGTGTCGGTTCAATTTCCGAAATAAGAGAGCATATGTGGTGAGAAATTCTTTTTTTCATTTTTTTTTTCGTTGCCTTCTTCTTCGGTTTTTGTTATTATTTTGCCTTGAACGACGTTTTTTCGTCGATATTTTGAAGCGTTAAGATACTTTTATGACACTATTATTGTTCCTTAATCTATTTTCATTTGTTTTGCTCCTTCGTTTTTTTTTCTTCACCACCGATCTGATGCTGTTGAGCCGGCGCACAACTAAACGTAAAATCACAAATAATCGACTGCAGTTTGTCGGTTTTCCATCTCCATTTTTGATGAGTTTTTTCCCTCTTCTCTTATCATACCTTTTTTTTCTTCTTCTTTCGATGAATTATTTGAATCGACAGATGGTTTGACAATCAAGCAGAAGGGAATGAATGAAAAAAAAAGTAACAACCGTTCGTCATAAGTTTGTTAAATCCACATAAATTTGATGATTCGATATATTATATGATTTTCATTTGTTTTGAGCGCGCGTCATAAATTCAAACCGGGCCGACGATTCTAGTGCAACCGATGAAATAAGCCAGGCTCTGTGCTTTTCTTTTCGAAAGAAAAATAACAATCGATGGATGATTTCTTATCTGTGTTTGATTTAAAGCATATTCCAGACGCTTCTTCGCTGTATAACTATTTGAAGCATTCGGATAGAGCCCAACACTGGCTTGTATAACACTCTGTATGTGTATGTGGGTGTGAGTGTCTTTCGGAGAATTGGTGAAAAGCAAATATTTCCTTTTAATTCCTGGCAAATACTCTCTTTTCAATATGCAAGGTAACAATTGATTTGAATAAATGAGATAAGATCAGCAAAAGAGGTACTTTTTTTTGTACATTATTTCAAAAGGTACTTACTCACTGTACACACTCACCTTGTTTTGCACAATTTGGTTTTCCTTCGATTTGTACCTGAATTTCGACAGAATTTTTCCTCCAGAAGAACAATAAATGGTAGATACAATAGTCGGTCAAAGTATTTCACTTGTGGCGCATTTGAAATGAATGAAAATTGTATTCTTTTTCCTCTTTTACCCGTCATAAACCTTTTCAAAACAAAGGAGAGTATTTTTTTTGTCGTTCATTTTGCAACAATAAAGACCGTTTTAAAACAATAAGAACCATTTTTGAACAAAACGAACATTTCTTGGCGCAATTTAACGAGAAAAAAAAAACAAAGTGAAACAAAACCCAAGTTAGGCTTAAAAAATGAGCATAAAAATAGGAAATTGTTTTTATTCATTGCATTTGAAACTTGTTTGTGAAAAAATATCGAAACAGAAAAATAGTGTATGTGTATAAGTATTCGTAAAATAAAAAATAAAGACATCACCCATTTGGGCTCTCTCATTGTTTTTGTTACTCTTGGCCCAAAATATGTAAAAAAAAAACTCAAACATAAAAGTAAGATACAAATAGCATGCATTGGCTCTTATGTTAATATTAAATTCGTTTTTTTTCTCGCTTCTTCTCATTCATTCTCGCACAAATTATTACAATCTATTTAAAAAGATGCAGAAACGATTGGATGTTCAGTAACTACAATACAAAAACTATCGGCGCCGGAAATTTTGGCTGTTTTTTTTTTATCAACAACATTCAATTGTGATGATAAAATCGGCTTTGCTGATAAACTCATTTGAATTCTTTGTATTGTGATAAAATCTAGTAATACTTTTTTCTTCTTTTAAAATATGAAATCAATTCGCTTTCTTTTGCCGAAGGTCAAAGAATGACATTCATTTGCTATTCATTCGTCAAACGATTTAGTTAACAATTTGATTGCAGGTACTACTATTTATTTATTTTTTCATTTATTTTTTTTGTGTAGGATTTTTTTTTCTTTTTTTTGGATTTGCATTCTAATTTATGTATTCATTTTGATAATAATTCTTTTTTTTTTGCTAACATGCTAGTGCATCACCAATTCACATTTTTTTATTAAATACAAAACAAAATTTTGAAACAAATTTAGATTGGGATCGAAATAGCGTTGGTTTTCCTGTTGGTTTTTCTTCAAATCACAATTCGGTTCCATCAAAAATGTTCTACATTTCATTTGGAATTGTTTCAAATATCCGAAGGAAGTGCAATTTTAATTGAAAGCACAATTAACGATTTACGATAAAATTGAACATCTAACTTCTATTTTTTATCAAGAAAAAACTGGTGTGATTCAGTCACGTGCAGCTCCCATTAGGAATCCTCTGGCAGTTAAAACGCCACGGCATTTTATGTGTACTTGATAGCGTGACGTCCACGTTGGTGTGAATGGTTGGAGAAGATTGCTGTTTATTTCGTTGAATGAATCTTTAGTGATGAGCACTGTGAAATGGGTACAAAACCAAAATATGAGAAAAATTGTTATCGACATTTATTCTGGTTGATCGGTTTTTGGATGTAAATTTCCAATTGATTTCAACAAAAATGAGTAAATTACCTTCAGAATCGCTGTGCGTGAGTAGTTGAATTTCGTTTTTGGCGCAAAATTCTTGCATCGATGGTGGCACAACACAGCATGCGCTCAGATTGATTTGTGAAATGGTCGGTTTAACGCGGCACGATGTGTACAGTTCGATCAGTGTGTCTGTATCAAGATCAGCAATGCCCAGTTGACAGATTCGTTTATCATCTGCATAGGTTTCAAGGACTTGCCATAATTCTTTCAATTCATCAATGGCCGTTGCGGTGTCACCCCATGTCAATAGGCTCTCTTTTGTCAATGACGATCCCAGCGAACCATTTTGATATCCATTGGTTTTGTCAGTGCCATTTGATTTGGATTTAGCGCCGTCCAACGGATGAAAGCCCAGTATTAAATTATCCAAATGATCGATTTTAAGCACTTGCAACAAACTGTCGATGGCCTCATGTAATAGGTTCGGATCCGAATGATTCAAGAATACTTTAGCGCCAATTTTAATATCATTTCGTTCATATTCCTTCACTTTGGCCAGTAAATCATCATTGCTGCGTGCTATAATGCCAGCTTTGGTATCAACCACCGGATCGGACATCGTTAAATTTAGGCAATCGAACAGCTGAAATGAATAAAGAAAAATTCGTCATTTGAAAAAAAATGTAAACATGAAAATTACACAATTCATTGTAATTTCACACCGAAAAGTGAGTCAAATGTGCAAATCAACCATGACTTGCAAAACATTCATAGAGCAAAAAAAAACTCTCAAAGTCATGTGAGTTAAACCATTTGCCGTCGTATCGATTGTCTTATTATCTAGAAAGCAAATATGTGCTTTTTTACGATTTTGTACACGAATTAGTCACACGAGTCGCATGCGATAAAAGAAAATCGGCATGCAGCAAATTCCGACGACTTTTTATTCACAATATATTTGTTCCACTCGAGTGTGCATGACATTTGAATTTCATTCATCTACAAATCATCCAGAAAACTCCAGAAATTTGTTGAACGGTTTAACTGTTTTACATTCAATTCAATTGATGTCATAAGTTTGATCGATTTTTTTGTTTGGCGAGCAACAGAAAGGAAAAAAACACACTTATACCATGAAAGCGATGACCTTGTACGAATCATCGAATGTGTACAACAACTATCGTTGTTGAAATCATACATTTGGCGCTTAAGGCTTTGGCTATGAAAGAGAGAAAGAGAGAGAGAGAGAGAGAGAGAGAGAGAGAGAGAGAGAGAGAGAGATAAATGCCATGAAAGCACGCACAATCGCACATACATGCAGAAGATCCCATTTCAATTGTCCATCTCATTAAACGGTCTTTTACACCCATAAAATTATCCGACATGGAATAAACTGCTTGTAATATCTTTTTTTTTATCAATCTGAATGAAATGACTAACTCGCTCTCATTTACAAAAATACACTATAAAACCCATGGATTTCAGCCTCATATTGATGCATCAGCATGACAAACTATTAATAACCAAGCCGTTGTTTTAGATCATAATGAATTTCATATGAAAATATTTACATTTTAATTCATTCGAATGGGGATAACATCTCTATTAGTCATCATGTTTATGAAAATGATGATTTCGTTTAATCGGCTCGAAAGTAAAGTGTTTAAAAATAGATCCAAATTCCCGTTTACACTGCAATGACTCAAACCGAATACCAAACGACTGATATTTAAATGGAAATTTTGGATTATCGTAGTTTAGATTGGGCTGCAATTTGCGGAAAACGATTTTTTCGGTGTTGTTTTTGTTTTGGGTCGTCATTCACGTATTTTTTTAGATGATTGTTTTTGGAAACCGAGATTTAACCTTCATTCGAGAATGGGATGGACCCATTTTAGTTCAAGTTTGAAAGGTCATTTCCAATTAGAATGTTTAGAACAACGATGAGTTAATAACGATTCGTTACACAAAATTTCAATAATTTTCGATTTTAGAATAACTCACCTCTTCGTTGGTTTTTTGGCCGGCCTTTTTGTTGACATTTAGAATGTTTCCGGTGCTAACAAGAATTTTTCTCTTATCATTAAGCATTTTGGCGTTGGGTAATGTGTGAAATAATCGGACGAATCAGATGGTGGTGTTGAATGTGCTTCAGGCCTGTGAAAGAGATAAAAAAACGAAAGAAAAACAATTCATAGTAAATTTCGAAACATTTTCTCGATACAATGAACGGAATCAAGTGATTTTACAAGCGATAAGCGAAACGTGATTGTTTACATTTTGGCTGTAAACACGATGGGATAAAATGCACTGTGTAATTAACTAACAAAGATTTGTTTAGTTAAATAGTTGCAACGATTACATTTCTTGTTGCGCATTAAGTGATGATGATAAAAAAAAAACGAACAAAAACAAGAAATGAAACAGGTTGAACAAATCGAGATATTAGTCGGTATGCGATAATTATTGTCGTGCATCAATACTAAATTGCGTGCAATTATACTTTGTGTGTGATTTGTTGTTAGCGCGCATTTGTTTTCATGACATTTGTCATGTGTCATATATACGAAATAGCTGCTCGTTTAAGATGACATGCATTCCGTTCAACAGCAGCAACAACAGCAACAGCACATGTGCTGCAAACTCTGATTCGGCGAGCACAAGCGAAAGAGACGAAAACACGGTACGCACACCTTTCGTCGAAAAAAATGTTTTCGCATTTGGGACGAGAAGTTATTATTCGCAAATTGTGTGGATTTAAACATGAGCCAATCATCACACAAAAAATCGATGTATTACTATAACTCGCCGTTCGAAACGTATGGTTTAAGTCACATCAATCAAAACCTACCGCTGACTTAATCATTGAAAACTGCTGAAGTGAAGATTTGTTCCCATGTTTTTTTTTTAATTTGCTCGCTGTCTCTCAATACGTTTTGACACATTTGCATCGACCATTATTCGATTTGTCAGTGTAATGTTATGACATCGATAAAAAAAGGCACACAAACGAAATGAAGAAAAAAAAAACGTTTGCTCTTTGCTCTATGAATTTAGAACGTTTTTACTTGTGTCAGTGCGAGGTACTATGTTCCGTGTTTATTTCCTCGAATTTCATCCGATGTTGACATGTTTGTTTTTCTGTTGCTTCGCATCGGAATATCAACGAACGGTAAAATAGATAAGATATATGCACACATACACAGGGAACGATATTTGTTTTGTTCAGAAATCGCGTGATTGTTTCAGCTTAAAAAGAAATATTTTTATATATCGAATTTCCCAATTCGAATCGCTATTATTGGAAACTTGTCGTGATTTAATTCTGGTTTGAATTGAATTGAAATTGATTCGATTGACACTTTTGTTCTCGTGCACATCAACGATGTAGGAAATTCAATTAACGATTTTTCCACCAATGTAGAGAAACAAAAAAACTGTTCTCTTATTTCTACAACCAAAAATCACACCGAAATAAGTAAAAAATCACCTTTTTTATTCACTTGAATTATCGATGTTTGTCGTTGGTTGTTGGTGTTGTTGTTGTGGTTTATTCTTGAGGTCCGAAAATGTCTGTTACATTCACACAATCGAAATCGGCGGAATCAATACCACTTTGCGTCTTTTGACATGCACACGTTTGGTAGAACTGCGTTTCAACGCCGCTTGACCTAGGTTTTGTTGCTGCCTTTCAGTTTGCAAGAGCGTGTAACGCTGTATAGAATTTTATGACTTCTTTATTTTTTTCTGTTCTCTCTCTCTCTCTCTCTCTCTCTCTGTTTTCTGTCACTCCAAAACTGATAATGTTTCGTGTGGCTGTGTCGTATTCACTGATTTGAAGTCGGCGAGTGAATGAATGAGAGAGAGGGAAGTGCGAACGCTGAAAAGTCGATTGGCCTCGCGCGTTGATATGTATGACAAATATTCGAGTGATATCTTTCGGCGCGACAAGAATACCACAATACAAGTGTTAAGTACACAAATTCGATTTGAAAATACACTCAATTTCGATTTAATTTTGGAGTTGTTTTTCTTCTTCGGATGGAGTTTTTATATTTGACAATTTGTACGCATATTCTGTTTCAACAAAATGATGAAGTAAAACCCACAATGAAAACAAAAAAAAATAAAACGAACGTATATTTGTCTAATTTGCGATTGATTTGGAGGGTTATTGCATACACATGCTTAGGTTCTCACATGAATCGAAACACTATCTGCTTTGGAAGCGAACGAACGAGCGCCAAGCAAAAACATACAGAGCATCACACATTATACACATGGCACGACGGACACTACACACTCAACACATTCATTGGCATTCATGACATCACATGCGACGCATGTCATGGTAGTGTATAGTGTTTTTTTTTGCGTGTATTGTATCGCGCGCGTCGCAACCGAATCCAACGAGTGGAAAAGAGAGCAGTGGCGCTGTAAATGAATGCCACGGCAAAGCATACGTTAACCGTGTTTTATGCAAATGAGCCTAATCGCGTACTTTAAGAATCGTTTCATTCTTGACTGTGTGATTTCGACCGAGTTTTTTTTTCTGGTCGATGAAAACACGGACGTTTTTGTGATTTATTGTAAGGCACGATGGTTGGGCAGCAACGAGCTAATATTTCTTTGCATCACACAATCCAAAATTCCAATCAAGAAACATTTTTGAGATAAAATTCCTAAACCTAGTGCTGAGGATGTTGTGACTTTTATTGTTGCATCTTTGAAATCGCTCAATTTGTATAACGAAGTAACGTTTTTTTTTCATCGGTATGTCAGCAAATCAACTGATTACTAAATGGCACACATACATTTCATTCAGTATTGAATAATCATTTGAAAATCTCATTCGATTATATAAATTGATTGAGTGCGCGCGTGCGCGCACTCAATAAAGAATCGTTTATTACAGTATTGAAAAGCATGCAGTACTGTGTCCTCTCGCGTTTGTTGTATTTCGATTTGTCATCATTTAAATTCGTAGTAATTTTGCGATGATGACGCAATTCATTAATAGAATAGCACAGACGCCGCAGATATGATTCGTCGCTCGCTCGATCGCTCTCTCTCTCTCTTTCTTCCTCTCTATCTGTATCTCTCGCAATGTATTTCGCAACACACTTCGGATTAACAGTTGGCAGCGCAAACGTGTGGCTCGTCAAACCGTATATCATATTTTTGCTCTTGTTTAAATCGGTCTGCCGATGAAATAAATGTAGCGTTGAAAATGTGAAAACGGAATAAAGCGGCAGCTAAAAGTAAAGCGGACGTCACCAATGCAATCAAATTGACTCAAATTCAATTATTTAAATGCATGTTTATGAATTGAAAATCGCCTAGAATTTATTAAAAAATAAAATAGAAATTAAAAGAACAATATGTATGGTAGATTTGCCGAAAAATTACAATAATTTTGTTAAAATTTCATAATATTCAGTCGTGTGCGCTCTTGGCTGACAAAACGTTTTTCAGCCTCGGATGCTTTGGTCACGACATGAAACGTAAGAACGCCACGGCCCACCAAGAAGCTACAAAGAGAATCAAAAGAATGCGCATTTAGAATAAAATTGAGAAAGAGAGAGAGAGAGAAAGGCACATGATTGCATATCATCGCAATGAGACACTCACTCCTTATCGACAGTGATTTCCTTAATCGTTTTCCGTACATCGACTCGATGTAGCGTTGCATTGATGCGATTCTCAAAGTACACATTCACCGTATCGGGTTTGTATTTATACGATTTGTCCTGTGGCATTCGTTCCGCAAACAGATCACATAAAATATCATTGATTCTGTGGACGAAAAATGTGAAATGAATCAAAATTGAAAACAACCCACCCACCAGTACAAGGTTATGATGCCAATAATCTCATCGTCACTTACGTATTATTATCATAGATTTGTTGTTGAAAGTCGCAAATTTCAAATTCTGGATAGCAAAAAATCGCTGGCCAACGTAGAAAGCCTTCGTCAGTCATTTGAATGGAATGCTCTTCAAGAGGTAGGTATTGTGGCTTAATAAGATCTTCATACGATGATGTGTCAAGCTGTTCTTCGAATTTAATGCCTCGCGTTTTAAGCGCTTCGATTGTACGTTTTAGCGTTTCACCTTTGCGCCGTTGCTCATTCTGTTTTTTCCGCTCATCACGCAACTCCTGTAAATGCGTATCGCGGGCCTTTTTTCGTAGTTCCAGACATTTGTCACTTTGACCAAATTTATTTATGTATTTATTGCACAAATCAATGCATTCCTCGTACTTTTTCAAATGTAGCGAGCACTGAGCCATACGGAATGCTGCTTTTTCATAGTCCGGTTTCAGTTCGAGTGCTTTTTTGGCATCGATAAATGAAGACCTACATTCGAAATAGCCAAAAATTGTTAAAAACATTTCAAATCACAAATTTCTTCTTATTTCGCTTCGAAGAAACTATTCTTACCGATAATTTTTCAAAAAGAAATGCGCCGCACTACGATTATTATACAATGACGCGTTCAATTCAATGTTTTCACATTTCTGATTCAATCCTTCGGTGTAACTATAAATTGCCATGCGATACTTTTTATTTTTCATGTCAAAGTTTCCATCGTCTTTGTACGTTGATGCCAAATCTTCCAGTGTATTCTCCAATGGGTCGTATTTCAACTGTTGAATGCCTTCAAGCATTGGATGCAGTTCATCGCCTGGTTTTGGTGGTTCTTTCATGAAAAATGGATGCTTATTCATTTCCTATTGAGACAAACAGATGATGAGACCTTGGCACAGTGGTCATTTTCAGGCATTAAATGTTACCTCTTCCCATCGATCTTCAGGCCAACCTTCCGTGTAGCCCCGTTTCTCCAACGAATCAATAAAATCATCCAGTTCTTTGTCCATCTTCTCAACCAGAGCAGCACGTTCTTCATCCGTCATATTTGACTTGGGCTTCGTTGACGATCCCGGTTGCTGATCCTCATCTCGTATTTCTTCAATCAATGCCATTTTTAAACTAATCGAAAAAAAAAATTCAACACGATTTTCAATCAAAGAATTCAATCCGATTCTTTTGAATCAAATGTATTTGCCGTTTTTTGTTTGTTTTATCATTTGCACGTAAACTAAATGTATGGAATTCGAAATGCGGAGAGCTGATTGTGTGAACTGTCAAAATGATACGCAGCACATGTTTTGAGTGTAAACGTCAAATATTACGTAGAGCTGCTACTGCGTCGAAGCGAGACTGTAAATGCGGGATTTTTGAATTTCTACGTACGTACGAACCGTGTCGCGCTGATTATTGCACTCACAATCATTAAAAACTGGTCTAATTGATGGGAGATTCAGTGAATAAGAAGCAAGGAACATATATTTATTTGTATGACAAATGAAAATGAAGAGAAAAATATTTTTATTAAGCTGGCGTTTTAAGAATCATTAAAAAAAATGCACTCAATAAGTTTTTCCAGTCTCGAAAAGAAAGAAAAACTCAATTTAATGAAGCAAAAGATAGACTGCACCGGAAAATAGTCGAGTGATCGACATAAATCGACCAAAAATGGACAATTTTCGAAACTTTTTGTGTTGTTTTTGGTGCATTTCACCCATAAAATAAATGATTGAAAAACTTTATTTTGGAACGCATTCAAATGGCATTACTTGAAATTACAACTTGCATCAAAAGTCGGAATTAATTGCAATGGTGCAATGGATGGTTTACAAATGATGAAGTAGACAAAGAGAAGATGAAGAAAATGCAAGAGAAGAGAAAAAAAAGATCTGCAGCAAATAGAACAATTGTGGCTAATAATATGCTGGCATACCACTTTATATTGCCCTATTGTATTACATACACCACAGGCCATAAGTTTGGATACCCCTATGAATGAATTTGGCCCAAAAATTTTAAATTTCAAACCGCTTGTCCAATTTCAACATGCTATACGTCGTTGGAAAGGTCTCAGAGAGTAAGTATCATTTTTGGTATTAAACATCAAAATCGGCCAGCTTTTGGTCAAGATATGGCTGATTGAAAATTTCGGCCAAAAATTACAAACGGCCATATCTTGGCCAAACGCCGGCCGATTTTGATGTTTAATACCAAAAATCACATCTACTTTTCAAGACCTTTCCAATGGCGTATTTAACTTTTCAATCCGATGGCCCGTTTAAGACTTCGATTTTGGCTCCCACAGCTCAAAGGCCAAAAGATGGCCATAGGCCGGCCAAATGTTATCTTCCAAATCATCCATTCGGTCAGAATTTCGATATATTTTCATATCCAATACTAAATTTGAAGTGAAAAGGTTCAAAAATCGTAGGAACAAACGTTTCATAGGGGTATCCAAACTTATGGCCTGTGGTGTAAGTGCAGAACAAAAACCAACAAACCGACAAAAAAAAACTGCAATTGGAAATGGTCGACTTGAACTGATTTTCTGCAACTGCAAGCAAACTGTGTCGTTTTCTATAATAAAAATGAACGTACACACAATTTATCGTTTCGTTACAAATAATTTGGAATTCAATACAGATATCAAATGCTTTGACACTCTTTTTTGCAACAAAAATGGGATTTAATCATCAAATTCCACATTGAGATAAGGTAAAATGGAGATGTTTTATGGCAGAGAGAAAAAATATGTGCCCACGTAGAAGCTGTAAGTGGAGTTTGAGGAATGTGTGTTTGATTACATACGGAGAATGCGAGAAAATTGCCTGCAAACGGTGCATATTGCACACTCGCTTCAATATGCACATGTCTGGATGTGTGTTTTTTTCCTTTTGTACCCCATTCGTTCTGCAGAAAGGAAAACCGCGTTTGCATTTAGACGCTACATAGAGTGGCAGCCAGTGATGCTGATGATACGGATAGTTACATAGCACGTGTATGCATTGCACACATTGTATTTGCGTGTCGTGTTATGTAGCCGTGACTGAGACGTATCGAGAGCAGGCAAAAAATTAGCAGCAGCAGCAGCAGAACATCTATGCAGAGAAATAGCGAGAGTGAAAGAGACACACAGCACACACAAGCGATACAGACTCACAGTTGCAGAGTGTGAGTTAGCATACGTAGTGGTTTTATGTATGCAGAAAATAATTCTTTTGGTTCGCGGGCTGGCAAACATCAGCAGCAGCTTAAAGCCCAACAATTGAGAAACAAAACAACCACTGGGACGAATAGAACGAGACCAAAAAAAAAAGAGAAGAGAAACACACACGATTATATATATAGGCTGCTGCTGCTGCCTCTGCTATTGCCACAAAAAGTGAACACACGAAATAGAACATTTTTGTGCAACACTATAACTTTTCTCGTTATTATATTATTATTTAGGGAAACTGGTTCGATGTGTGCTGTCAATTTGTGTTCAATTTTCAATTTGGTGTGTTTTCTTCTCGGTGGTGTTTGCGATTTTGTGTGGTGCTGCATGCCACCGAGAGTGAAAGAGAGAGTTTAGTTCGTTTTAGCAATTTGATGGTAACCGTTCTAAGCCCAGCACAGCTGATGTTGAAGAACAGGTGAATTGCAAAAACTTTTTTGTTTGCTTGGTTGATTGCTGTGGAATATTATAGTGGTGTGCAGATCATATATTCCCCATTGCCTCGACGACCCGTTAATCCTTCGATTTGTTTTGTCAATGGAGTTCTATTCAAGTGCTTCCTGACTTGAATTTTCAATTTCGTGTGCCAACACTAGACTTTTTTATATATTTTTTTTTATTTTGAAAAACGTGTTAATTTCGTATGGGTTCATCGTGATTCTATTGACGCGCTTCAATAAACCGTGTGATACAACAACAAAGTGATGCATTTGATTAATTTCTGAATAGTGCCTCTTTAGTCAGTTCCGAAAGAAAAAAAACATGAAGAAAACACCAAAAAAAAAATGCCATAACCAAACCAGCACCACAGAAACGGTGAAGAGCTAGAAATATTGACGCGACATGCAGAGACTTTTCGAAATAGATCTCAAACGTTTAGCAACAATAGTGAAAACGGGTTCTGAATCGCTTAAATTAAGTGTATAATTTTTTTGTTCGTCATTGTTGTTGTTCAAAAGAAAATGCGCATAATTGAGAATAAAAGGCAAACAATTCGGTGTGTGCAACATTTTTTACGTGTGAATATGCATCTTAAGACTTGTGCAAAGAATGTCGAGATTTTGTAATGATATTAGCAAGAATATGTTTTTTTTTTTCGGTTTATTCGGTCGTATCGTTCGTGTTGCTTATTTCTGCTTGTCACATCGTTGACGGGAGAAGAAAAAACCGTTTGTTTGACGCACAAAACGTCCGCACCGAAGGATAATCATTGAAGTCTGTAGCAAGAGAGAGAGAGAGAGAGAGAGAGAGAGAGAGAGAGAAACGGCGAAATGCATCTGTTCAAATGCGTGTTGACTACTTATTCGCCAAAGAAGACAAACACGGTCTCACTTAAATGATGCATCAAATTCAATCTTTGATAGTTTCAAAAGCCGATAGTTATTACGTTGTCATCATTTGTAATTGGATGATGAGAGTGACAACGTGTGTTTTGTGTGTTGAATATTAAAGAAAGGGATTTGCTACAAAATCGACGACATTTTGTTATGCCAGATAGTGTGAACGAGTCGTGTTGTCTTTTGATTTGTGCTTTGTGGTGATTGAATCCCGGGTTGGCATTTGCACATACTAGAAAAACCACACGAAAAATGATGAATGAACGAAGCGGTCGACATAGCAAAGTGAGTCCATCGCCGGGCAAAGGTGTACAGGCCGCTTACACACTATGCCCAATGAACGATCCGGACATCATCATAACGGGAAGCAGCGTTCTATCGATTCCACTGTCAGCAATTACACTACCATCGAAAAATGGACCGAAAGATAGCTTACATGGTATGTATTTGAACAAACTTTAACAAGTTTTACAAGTTCTAACTTGTTTGCTTCAAATTTTCTGGTTGAATGGAAAAAAATGAGCTTGAAAAACCACATTTTCGTTTTGGTTTGTTGAAAAGTTCAACTGAATGCTATATTGTAATAGGAGATTGATTACCGAATAATTTAAACAGCCGCATTGGATTGAATGGTTGAGCCAATCGTGTAGCTGGGCATCAACTTCTCCCACCACACGATAATGACTTTCTGCATGTGCACGAATTTTCCCATTTTTTTTCTTCGGCAAGTTTATTTTAAAATTTAAATGTGGACGTCGTAAAGTTTTGTGCATTTATTTCATTTCTTAGTTCATTTCTATTTGACCGAGCTAACGATACATGCACTCACTTTTCCATTTCGTTGCGGCAGAGGATTTTTTTTACGAGCATTCTGTTTTTCTCTCCTCTGAATAGGTTTAACGTCATGCCATCTCTCTCTCTCTCTCTCTCTCTCTCCCTCTCTCTCTCCCTGGGCTGCCTGATAAATATTAAATGTTTAAAAAGTTTATCATTACTTTTATCCTTCATAAAGTCTGTATTTAATGCGCAAAAAAAAACAAACGGAATGAAACTTTTCAAATATTTCTTTTTGTGTGTTGTGGATTTTGATGTAAGGGAGGGGAAAACTCCAAGCCACAATCAAAAGGCAGGGAATGCAATAGCGCGCTTGATGTTCTGTAAAATTATGTTAACAGCTCGACAGTGAAGAGGCAAAAGAAAAAAAAATACGATGCAACAAAGTAACGAGCCGAGCTGAGTGTATATTCATCATGCTGCTGTCTAGACTTTTGGCTGTAGAGCTTCGGATGAGGCAGTGCAAAATACACGCGACCATAAATAATGCTGAGTTGACCTGAAAAATACACCGAATCGACTCGATGTTTCATACACATTTTGTGGTGTGTCTCATGAAAACAACAACAACAACAGCGATTTCTCTGCACTTTGGTGTATTGTTATTCTCTTGTATCTATGGCATCCTGTGACTGTGTGTTTGAATGAATTTCATTTCATGGCAAATAACCTATATTATTTATTAACTGAGTTAACCTTTTCTCGCTTTCCTTCACTCTCTCTCTCTCTCTCTCTCTCTCTCTCTCTCTCGCACGCGCACACGCTTTCCACTCTTCAAGACACCAAAAATATCAACCAAACATTTTCCAGCGAAAAACCGAAATGTTACAACATTTGATTTATTTCGTTATTAGCGCGATTCCCTTTTTGCACTCTATTTTGCTTTGCCTGTCACTCCATCTTTGAAATTGCGCTTCTATTTTGGCGTGTTTCATATTTTGGCGTGCTTATTTTTAGACTCGCAAATGAATCTATTCGCGTTTGGTGTTGTTGGTAATTTTTTTGTTGTTTTTGATTGCACTTTATTTAGTGCATCCGTCGTCGTCAACAAGAGCAACAACTGCAGGATTTCAGCAGCAATGTGAACGATATGCGCTCAGATAGAGAATCAAACATTGAGATAGACACTGTGTGTGTGTATGGGTTTGTATGTGTGTGGTGGAGACGATTGATGTTTGTTTGCATGATTGGCGAACAATACCGACATTTCCTCTAGCCTATACCATTCTATATGATATATATTCCGTCATAATAAATCATGCGCGCCGGCATTGTAAACAAAAGGATTGGATGCATTCATGACGCTTTCAACATGTGATTGATTTTCAATGTTTTGCTGATAATGCTTTCTCTCTCGCTCTCTTTCTCGCTCAGTCTTTTTTCTCAGTCTTTATTTCGATTTCCATTCCAAATCCATCGGCACGAGAGAATGTTGGAATATTCATTCTCAGACCGACAGCGTTGGTAGATATGCGATGTGTGTGTGTGTGTTTGAACGCGCACGATGTTGTTGTTGCTGCCAAAGCGGCAGGCTTTCGTTTGTAAATTCAATCAAGGTCTATGCTATTGCCTTCAGCAGCAATAACACGGCATATGCCACAGCGCCATGACATTGGCTTTAATCGACTATCATTTCGTACAGCAATAAGCAACAGCGATTGCATTTCATTCCAACGTGGCCTATCGTAACGATACAACACGATATTCAGCACGCTGCCAACATAATCCAACTGAAATGAATCAAATTCAAGTATATCTAATCTATAAAATAAATCATTTTTTGCCAGCATATTTCAACCCCATATCAATTTCTCTCTTGTTTCTCTCTTGTATGGAAAACTGTCCGCTATTCCGATTGTCATAAATTTCATTTGCTGAACTGATTTCAAAAGGAAGTAGAAATTAGAAAGAGGAACACGAATAAAGGACAACACTTGAATGAAATGATTGGGCTATTCTATTCAATATATATTGTAACCGCGTAAATATATGTGCCTTCAATTGTAGTAATATGAAGACAACGGCGAAAATCGAATGAATCAAGACCAAGTGTCCATGTGTTTCAATCGTCCTTTTTCGCTTATTTCGTCAAGCCATTCAATGTGTGTTCTACATTTTGACCGACACTCTATCGAAAACGGCTAATTAACTGACGCTACCATAAAAATTTAATGAAGCTGGTTCATGTTCTATAAGACAAGACCCGCGCGCTCTTTCTTTCTCTCTCTCTCTCTCTCTCTCTCTCTCTCTCTCTCTCTCTCTCTCTCTTTCCTCCTCCAATGTATGTCAGCGTATTCGTTATCAAGTACATGACGAAAAAGGGAAAAAATAGCGAACAGTCATCTAAACTGGTGTGATTCATGATTGGTCGTAAATTAAAAAATAAACCAAAAACCAGCGCATTCATTTCGCTAGTGACATTGTTCTATTTTAGCCTTTATGTGGTGGTCATTTAAATTCGATTTCGATTACAGTTTCATTTGTTTGGAAAAGTGATCGCTTACAGTTCAGCTTTTGGATTGATGGAAAAGCAAGCAAAAGAAAATAAAAACGATCGACATTTTTTGTATGGAAAATGTGGCTGAATGAATGAATGAGCTTTACAAGCTGCACAGCAGAAGCAAATGATCAAACGAACGAGCTTTGGATATACAAACAAATATTGTTCTTGGTTGAATTGATATATTTGAGTTTCGAATTTGTTCTGGACGTTGCGCACGATTTTCGCTTCTTCGAAAGCACCCGGTAAAAATAATGCAAATAATTTTGCTGTCGACTGCAATAAGAGCTGCATATTTTGTCGGCCAATCGCTTTTGTTTCGACTCATATTTTATGGTCATGCATTCGAAAATGTATCTGAATTGGCCAATGCAAATGCATTTACTCGCAGTTACGTGTGATTTTTATCAACGAATCGCTCTTAGGTAAAATAGCTATGTTTTGAAGCAAACAGGTAGTTGCTGTACTCCGTAGATGTTGTAACATTTTATGAACTTGTTGGGATTCATTTTGAAAAGGTGAGTTATTCTTTTCATTCTCATTCCCTTACGATACATTCTCTCGTCGAAAATAACAGCCAATGGCTTTCCAGCACAAAATGAAAGCTGAAAATTTCAATGAAACTGATGCATGTCCTCACCCAACACAAGACACTGTTCGCCCGCTTCGTGATATATGTCGACGTATTCGTTATTAAGTACATGAGGGACAAGGAAAAAAAGAGCGAACAGCCATCTGAACTTGTGTGATTCATGATTGGTCGTGAAGTAAAAAAATAAGCCAAAACCAGCGCATTCATTCAGTCAGTGACATTGTTCTATTTTGTTGCCTTTATATGTTGGTCATTTAATTTCGATTTCGATTTCGATTTCGATTTGTTTGGAAAAGTGATCACTTACAGTTCAGTTTTCCGTTTAATGGGAAAATAGCGAGCGAGCAAGCGAAAAAGAAAAAGAGGGATAGAGCAAGGCATTGGCAATTCCTCGGCTATGTTGACCGCCGTTGGTTTTGTCATCGATATGGGTTATGTTGAAAACCGTTGTTTGTATCCGCGAAATATGAATATGAGACGAAAGCGACCGAGACTGGGTAAGTGTATCGGAATCTGTGTGTGTACAATGTCTGTTGAGCACCGCTCAACGACAAAATGTGTCATGCATGTGTATGGACGCAATTGTTGTGGCACTTTGACATTGTGTGTGAAGGATCTGACTGAACGCATGCTAGAAGCTAGCAAGCGAGCGCGCGCGAGTTGACTTCGATTTGAATATGTATTCGCTGTTGCCTCTCGTTCCGTTGTTGTTTCTTTTTTAAATATTTTCCCATTTCGGTGTTTCACACACTCACTGTTCACATTTTGCGAGGCAAGCGTGTGTCCTGTACGCGACGGCCCACATATACACACGCCACATACAGAAAGAATAACAAAAACAAAGCGCCAAATGTGCCCGATGGTCTAGTCTAAACGTATCTCCTCGATGATGCGTACCTAATACGCGTGTTCGACACTCGATTATAGCTCCTTCGCATTCGGCGATAATGTAGTTAAAGCGAAACGACGATTTTCATTCGCGATTTCGAAGAAAATACGATAGGGACACACACCGAGATATCAGAGACGGAGAGAGATAGAGAGAAAGTCAAATTAATACAAAACAAAAAGAAGGAGTAGATAAAACAAAGCATCAAAGCAAAAAAAATTTATTGGCAAAGCATATAGGCGTTCGGAGTACGGATTCAACCGGAAAATTGCCGATTTTTTTGTCATTCTCCCTCTTCTCTCGTATTCTCGATTAAATAGAACGAAGCGCATTCAAACTGAAATATTTGAATAGTGGGCAGTTGATTCGCGAGATTTCGCGATATTATTCGTTGGTTTTCTCTGTCTGTTTGTTCGTTCGTTTGGTGTTCATTTCCAACTGTGTGTAGCCTTGGAACAGTCGATAATCGGCTTTCGAAGTTAAAACATTTAAATTCAATCGATTTTAATATTTTTTTTTTCAACGTACACTATCGATACACACATAGATTGGAAGTGGCAGCGATTCTGCATAAATCATGACGCAAAAATAATTCTCAATGTTATTTCAATGCAACCAATGAAAAAAAGGACGTACATATAAACAGTGGCCGTTTTTTTTCGGTGTTTTGTTTCGCCAAACCGACTTTTATTTGATAAAATAACAATGCGTCATTAAAGTGAACGACAACGACGACGACGATCGAAAAAAATTCGCATTTTCATTAAACAACAGTTACACAAAAGGAGCAAGAGACATAGAGAGAAAAATCAAATCGAAAAGTTAACACATTGTCGACATTAACACACACATATTGATTAATAAATTTCAATGAAATTCAATCAATATCACAATTTAAAATCGTGCCAATCGGATTTATTGAACAATTGAATCGAATGGATGAACATGTCAATAGGTTGCGCGTAGATTAAATAGACTTTTTTCGTTCCTTTCTTTTCTTTCAAACATTTTTTTTTTCTCTCGGTTCGTTCATTTCGGATTTTCACTCAGTCGGCGTTCATAATTTTTTTTTTCGTGCACAATTACACGTTTCAGTTGTTTTTATTTGGTTATTGTTGTTGTTCGTTCGTTTGCGGAGCTAAAAATATCATCGTTTCACCGAAAAACCGTATATGAACGGCAACGAACGAACGAAAAAGAAAGAAAACACACAAACGGTAGCAGCGACGGTAACGGCGACGACGACAACGGTGTAAGGACATTGTGACAACATCGTTGAGCTGACAAATGTGTAAACACAGCGTAGAATACGCGGCATAATGAACGCACACAAAGGCTTCGACTGAACCGAAGATAAAAAAAATAGCACAAAAACAAAAATTGAGCAGAGAAAAACGAGCAAATCACGGAATCTATTACGCACGAAAACGACAAATCCCACAAGTTATACGGCGGCTTACAAGAGCCGAGTGGAATAAGTCAAGAGTGTGTGTGTGTGTGTGTGCTTATGTGTACGGTGTATGCCATTTGCAAATTCAACGGACACTGCCAAATTGACAAATTTACTTGTTTCCATTCTATTTCGCTTTATCGTCATCATCTCTTTCTCCTCCTCATTACGACGATTTATTTGTGAATTTTGAACGTGCAGAAAAAAAAACAAGAAGAAAAACCCAAAATCACCATACACATATAAGCCGCACATCGAAGTGGCCGAAGGGCATCACCTTTACATTAATTCACGGTCCAACCTGAACTCAATTCGAATCCAATTTAACGTTGAGCTATAATTACTCGATTAGTCGAAAAGTGCGTTTAATTGCCGCAAAAATGAATTTAATGTTTCGGAAAAATTTTCGCGAAGGAGCAAAATCGGGAGGCGGTGGCGGCATTAAATTACAACCGAAATCAACACGCAACCAAGTGAAACGATCTCGTGATATGGGCTATGGTAATATGGATGCTGATGTACACTATCGAACGCATTTATTCTTTTCACCAAATCGAGGCCTCAATTCGAACGACTGCGAAGGTTTGTGATTTTACACCGTTGTGTGACCGTTGTGTGCGTGTGTGTACGTGTGTGTACGTGTGTGTGCATTTTTCTCTCTGTCTATCTCATCATTTGCTGTTAGTTTCTTTCTATCTCTCTCTCTCTCTTTCCCATCTTCAATATACGTTTACCTATACAGTATAGGCCATACTTTGTTCTGCACATAATTTTTGCTTCCCTTCATCGCGATGATATCGACTTACTTGCGACACTTATTGCCAAAAACAAAAAACCGAAAATTCTGTGTCGCATACTCAATGTCCCATTGTTTGTCTTTATCCGTAAGTGTGAGTCTTCGGCATGTGGAAAAACCACCACTTGATCATACACACATACACACATGTATGTATATTTCTGTAATCATGTAAACAATTGCCATAATTTTGAACAACTTAACACGCTACAAACAAGGAAAGAGAGAATGAAAAATAAAAGTCCAAACCAAGTGCAGGCCATAGTATTAACTCCAAATCATAAATCGATCGATAAACTATCAATCGATTTCATATTGTGTACACAAATAATCATTTTGGTGTTTTTATTGTCAAAAGCATAAGAAGTAAGCGTGTGACTAGGCATTTTGCGTTTGGCAACATGCTTGAGTTTGTCAGCCGATGAAAATTTTTCTTTTTTGTCATTGTTGTTAAAATTATATATATTATTGTTGTAGATAGGCAAAAGCGGCTTCGCATTGTATGTTACACTTCCCGTTGTATGGTAAAATTGATTGTATGGCTGAACAGTGTGTCGCCGCAGCATATAATCCGTCAACGGAATTGTAACTATCGTGCTGTGCGCTCTACCAACACCACCACCACCATCGAAAATACCCCGTCCCAATCCATATCCTCCATTATGTATATTATATCGTCGATTGTGAACTTCCTCGGAATATCATGACGAAATGAAGCCAATTTTTAGCTTGATGAGCTTATTTTCACCTTTATGTATGCAAAAACAAAACGAAATGGAAATGACAGAAGAAAAAAATTAACCGTATCAACCGGAATTCGCACTACCAATTCGAGTGTGTGTTTGTGTGGTGTTTTCAAGGTGTTTTTACTCTGTCTATTTCTTGGTTTTCTTTTACTTTCATCTATATTACTTGGTTAATGCTCTATAATTATTATAGATATGAATGGCATGTTTGTTTTGGATAATTATTATAATCGGACAGCCTGTTTCATGCTCTAAAACATAAAAAAACGGTTCAGAGGAAGAAAAAAAAACAATATTTACCATTGTTTTAGTACACACGCACACATTTCGGTCATGTTGATTGCCATACAATTCAATATATTAATTGCAATGAATAGAGCCTAAATGAAAAGTCAGCCACAGTCACTGTCATAGGTGCTAATGGTTCAATGAAAAAAAAAAATTGAAGGAAAGAATTCCCCAAAGTTGTTTTCAAGCTACGGGTTTGAAATATTTGCAAATGTACTAGACATTCCTCGGATCATTTGTTTTCATTTTTTTTTACTCATTTCGTCTTTACTCTCGTGCCCATTGTCCCATAAATAATATGTAAACCGAAGTATATATGTATATATATGACGAATGAGTATCTGTGAACGTATCTTGAGTAAACAGAAGAATTAGACGAATGGAAAAATCAACCGACTGCATTTTTTCAGAGCCCCGTTGTGGTCCAATCGGTGCATCTATATCACTGTCGATGCCACAACATTGTGATATAGACGTAGCACAGCCAATAATCGATCGCAGACCATCTGTGTCACTCTTCAGATGGGGTGGCGGCAGTCAAAAACGAAACGATGCACCAACACCGACAGCTGCCAGACAAGGTTTGAACTTCATCATCATTAACATCATCATATAATTTCATTTAATTTCATGTGCATTTATTATAATTGATGGTGCGGAAGTGGCAAGGATTAATTGTTATTATTTCCAAACACTCTTCAATTTCTTTTCGCTTCGAAATGGTCGACCATTTTCATATTTGATACATAAAGACATTGATTTTGATTGTGTTTGTTGTCTTGTTTTGCTGTTTTGAGTTCATGATTAACCATATTGTGTTGTCTTTAAATTTTTCATTCGTTTTGTACTTTGCTTTGTTTCGTCCTCGTCCAAATGGTGATTTAACTCAAAGAAAAGTTTCATTTGACCGTTTTTCTTGTCGGATTTTCAAGAAAAATGTGAAATAATATGTTAATACGTAAATAATTCATAGCATTCTAAGTTGTATGTATAATTTAATATTTGCCATTTATCCAAATGGAATAATAATTCAGGGCGAGCTCACTGTCGTACTCATCGACCGAGGTCATTTTTATATCTCTCATTCAACGTCTGTTTTTTCGTTGTGTTACTTTTTTCACTTCATTTCTATTCACAAATTATTGTTAGTGAATAATTTTATAATTTTGTCGCTGTTTCTTTTCTGCTTTTCAACCCTCCATTTGGCTCAACTGGATGGACGACAACAACAACGATGACGCCGATTGATGTGTGCATGCCATGATTCATCGAAAAAATCTAAACAAAATCATTTGCCCATTTGAAAAAATAAACAACAAAAATAACGAAAAAATTATGTTTCGAGCGAGCAGTTAGCTTTAGTGGTCATGGGAATAATATAGTTGTTGGTACGCGAAACGAACCAATATCGCTATCCACATTGGATCGAGACTGTTTTATCATACCTGTACACAGTTTAGACCGATTTCTTCCAGCTGGAATACCCGTAAGTTTGATTTGGTTGTTGTTGTTGTTCTGGGTTTTTTTTTCTTCGTTTGTTGGCATGATCCCCGGTCATTAGATATATAAATAATTTAGACTTTTAATCAGTTTTACATTGAAATTAACTCGAGTAATTAGACAGAACAGTGGGATAGAATGGACATGCAAAAAAAGCAAAAAAATAATAAAGCGATTGGTTTGCATTCTAGCTTCCACCACCATGTGATTCAGTAGATGTAAAAGCGCAAGGTCCATTAAGTGTTTTAGAGGTAGCCGATCCAAAAGTGTGTATACTGGCACACTTGATGAGTCCATTAGAGCCAATCGATCCGATAATCGAATCACCATTAAGTCATCCGTTGCTGAAGCAACGGGCCATCGCATCAGAACTTTTGACCGAGGTCCAACAAGCAAATACGGCCATCGGCGGAATGCTTCTCGTTAACATGGAACGCAATTGTATGTGCTTATAATTGTGTTAACACACCAATTTTTCTCCCTTGTTTTTTTTTTCTTCTCTTTTCTATTTTTTTAAACGAATAATTAACTTGAAATGTATTTTTATTTTTCATTTTCTATTTGTTTTTGTTTCGTACAGCTGATTTTCCATTCATCGCATACTACCTGATAAACACGCAACAAACTGACCCAGCTCATTTCTATTCGGGTGTTCGTGGATCATCGCTCTCAAAATTTGAACCGAAAAAGTTACGGTAACCATCATGTTGGCCATTTTTCATTTTTATTTTTTTCTCTTTTTCAAATCGCATTTCAAACCCAGAAAAAAACAAATTTTTAATGAAATTCTTACATTTTTTTTCTTCGATTCTCTGCTTCTTGCAAATGCATTTTTTTTTTCTTCTAATATTTTCTGTTTCTTTATTCGCATTTATGGTTTATTGATTGTGTGCGATAAATCGAATGCGATTTTTATTTGATCCGCCGCTGTGTACAGACTCATATCAGACCCGTAAATTTTCGCCAATTTTTTACTCTCGTTTTGCACCTCAACGACACTCTATTGATTTGCACATAAAATCATCGTGTGTCTATGTGTTTTTCGTAGCAGAGCGCACAAACTGTTTTCTGCAACATCTTTTCTCACCAAAACTGAAACTCACATTTTACCCATTCTTTTCTCTTTCTCTCCCACCGTTTTTCTCAATTCACAATCTGAATTGCTATTTGCACATCGATCAAAATAATCAATTTAACAGATATACAGCGGCACATACTTTGGACCTATACTCAGAAGTGGCATCGATATGCCGACCGCCGTTAGCATTGACCAGCAGTGAAATGGGCAGTTTTAAGAAGACACAAACACCATCTACGGGCTACATAATCAGCGTATTTAAAGTGTTCGAGGGTGATGATGGTGAACGATTTGAAAAGAACTGGCTTTATTGGACGGGAGCTCGTATGCTGTACAGGTAAATTCGAGAGTCATCACAGGCATAAGCTGGTTTATATTCTTGTCAGATGTGCAAAACAAATGAATTATACAGTCTACTCAGTTGTATGTGGCTGTTGACTGGCCCAAATTGATTGTCTTAAACAAAGTAGACGACTTCAGAAGTTAAATTAGACACCAGTTATAGTGATTAGTTCCCTTAGAATTTTCAAAATAAAATGATTAGCTGAGAAAATGGGCAGGCGTTATTTCCTCTGCTCAATATTTTGAATCCAATCCAGCTTAGTTACAATTGTTTGCCGCCAAATAAGAACAAGTGACTGTTGGTCATCTGATTTGTATATCGAGTAGCCACATATTATTAGCATAAAGTTGCTTATATACGATTTTTTTTTCTAACACACTTCATTTCGTATCATTTCAGATATTTGCCGCGAGCAGTTGGAATGAGACGCATCGCCTTACACAAAAGTATATCGGCTAAAGGTGACAAAATGTATCTGCTTGTATGCGAATGTTCGGATCTATTGACAGAAATTTCATCGGCCGCCGTATTGATACCAACAATTCGGGCCCGTTTGTGCGGATACACCGGTATATTCTCCAGAACATCTCTATTTTGTTCATAAATAAAACTGATAAAATCTCTCTTTTCTAGGATTATATCGACCAATTCAAGCTTTTTAGGCTAAAATAAACACCAATTTCAAATTTAAAAAAAAAATGCAACGTTTGAGCGTTTGAGACTTTTTAAACAAACAAACAAAAATTAGCAACCATACGGCAAAAGAAACGATCGAATGAAATCAATTTGTAAGCATTTTTGCCATAGAAAAAACTAACCGAAAAACAAATATGTGACCATCGTGCAAAAACAAAGGAAAAGAAGAGACGGAAAAAAGCGAAACGGATCGAATCTGTAAAAAGTCGAATCCATATGCACGCGCGGGCGCTCCCAAAAGCCACGCAAATCAAATCAAATGGAAGAAATTATTCAGTTTTTACCGTCGACACCTGACACATTTATGTGATGAAATTATTAATATACCAAAAAACAATGTTATGTACATAAAATATGTAAACTAAGTGTAATATTTTAAAAGCGTGTATATTTTTTTACTTGCGCGATACATTTGCAAATCAGCTCTATTTTCCAAAAAAATGGTTCGCAACACACACAGGAAAAAATGTATAATATTGGGACAACGTTCAGTTTCTCTTCTTTTTTTCCCCCTTTTTTTCTGTTGAACCAAACAAAAACTTTTGTTGAAATCATTTTATGTTACATTTCGTTGAATAAAATCGTTTAGAAATGGAATTTCGATTTTTTTCAGTTTTTTTCTTCTTAGTTTGACTATGCTTTTTTGCGCATTTTTCTTTGAACGGTCTTTTCTTTGAAAGCTTGACAATATTTCGGCTAAAAAGAATTTTCCGGTTTTTTTTCTAGTCACATGAGAATTTTTAGCGTATGATTGAATAGGGGCCACATAGCTAGTCAATGGTCACCCTTTGCGTGTCCTAAAATTACTTATTTCTTCCGATCATATCGAGCATAGATTGTAGTAGATAGAATGCATATCATGCTCAAATCCCTTTCACACCAGTACTGAACATTACTTATATCTTATCCAAAGTAAATTTCATTGATTTATTTTCTACTCTCAATTTAATTTCTTCACCATTTAAAAAGAAAATCACAACAGTCCCAAAGATAAACTGGTGCAATAGCATCGGGAAATATGTTTTCTGTACCAAATTTCGAACATCGTAGCATTTTCAATAGACAAAATATAGAATTCCACCATGAATCACTTGTTCCAAGAGATTTGATGCAAAGTACACTGACTTTCTTTGAATGGCACTAGATTCAGATAGATCAACAAATCGATTTTAAATTTTGTAGATAATTTGAACTAAGCATTGCAATTGCTTAAAAAAATGATTGGTCTAGACGCATAAAAATGAATTGCTAGTGTTGCTGACAAATTGAATGAATTGAATGTTTGCTGACCGTATGGCATAAATTATTCTGTAAAAAAATTTGGAGCAATCATTTTTTTTATCATTCTAAATCTAATCTTGATAAAACTGGATAAAACACACACATACAAACGTAGAGCAAAAGATGAACACTTTTGATCAAGAAAATATTAGACGCTCACAAAAACAAACTACTCAAGTAGATGATTTGAGTAGGTGAAACATTAAATAATGAAGAAGACTTTCGCCTATGTGCCAAGTTGGCACTGCCAACCAACATTGGCAACAACAATTTGCCACATATTAAATGACGGCCTGAGAAGAAAAACCTCTCCTACAAAACCTGTGCGCAGAACACAAACACAGAAATTTTTTAGTCAAAAGTCGAACAGCAAATTTGCGAGCGCAAAAACCTAATATATTTACAGCGAGCGCAAAAAGCTGTTCGCCTTTTTACTAAAAAATTTCTGTGTTTGTGTTCTGCGCACAGGTTTTGTAGGAAAGGTTTTTCTTCTCAGGCCGTCAAATAGAAATTAAAAAATAATAGAAAAATATGCTTGAACATTTAAGCATTGTTTTGTTTGCTGAATATATAGCAGGGGCCTTGCAAATAACGTTTTCACACTTTTTCGATTAATTAACGTAGATTCAACAGTAATCAGTTCAGATTTATGGATTTAAAAAAACAAACAGTGGATAGAATATGCTCATTTCGAACAATTTTACCGTAGGAGCAAAAGACAAATGAAAGAACGTCCAAGCGAATCTTGATTTTCCTCTAAGTAAAGACAAAAGAAGAGGAAAAAAAGATATGAAAGAGAATCGACGATCAATTTTCAAATCAAAGACACAACAAAAATCGTTTCTTTATCTCGCATTAATCAAAAGATAAAAAAAACCGCATAACATTTACTCTACCATATCATCATGTGAAATAAGAAAGAAAGAAAAACAGAGGAAGATTTTCGTAGATATCGTTCACCTAGAGACAATTTGAAATTTAAGAAAATCTTATACGCTAAAGCACCAACTCTCTTCCAAACAATATAGACCTATGATAAGTAGATAAATGCACTGTTTACTCAAATTGAAAATAGAAATTACATGATAATTGAACCTCAACACTTTTAAATTTAAACATTTGAAATAAAAAAAAACTGTGATTCTGGTTAACTTAACGTATTGAACCAATCAAATAAGTAAGATCATGTAGCAAGAAGAAGCTGAAGGACTAAAAAATTAAGGCTGAAGTGCCGGTGGAGGTTTTTTTTCTTGCAAAGAGCATTTCAATAGCAGCACGAGCCACCAATGGTGGTGGCTCACCATGTACAGAATCGGTTTGCCTTCGGGAATTAATTTCAGACAAATGATGTATGTGACCAAAGAAAAGACCAAATCGCTTAAAGTCACCACACTTTATATAGTATACGTATTGCTTTAAGTTTGGATTCGATTGGATGCCATTAGAAATCGAGATCAACCAATTATTGCTTCTCTCAAACAAAGCTTTATAACTACAATTTTTTTCGACTTAAGTTTAGATAGAATTAAGAATTTGTCTTGAATTAGTTAAATAAGAAAAAAAAAATCACTCTAAAGTTTTAGAGCCTTAGAAACATGTTTTCCATGCATATTCGTAGAGTAACCGATTGAAACGGATAAAAAATGAAACAAATCAGCAAAATTAAACAAAATTGGCAATTCGTCAAATGTTTTTTTTTCTCCTGTCAATACACCAAAAGACCCTCTTGTTTAGGTTATTTCGATTATTGGAATTTGATTTCAACAGAAAGTGGCGCATTTTTCCAGAAGCTTCCATTTGCATTCGGTTCTTTTTTGTCACTTTTTGAATTTTAAATAAACAATCAAATACCATTTAAATGAACCTATAGCAAAAATTGTGTTGTTCATTCAATTTTTGCAGGTCAACGGTTTCACCACAAAACCTTTTCTCACATTCACACTCACATTCGTTAACATTCTCGGCATTAATTGCTGATGCATCAGTTTATGCATATGTGTGTGGGCTCGCGTTGAACTTGGTCGTGGTATCAATTTCGTGTATCGTGATCGTTTTTTGTTGTTGTTGGTAACGCATCGCGATCGGTACACGTTTAACAGTCGCTGAACAATTAGCAATTGAATCAGTATCCAATCGGACGGTGAACCGATTGACATATCGTTTGTTCATTGCACGTTGAATAAGTGAATGTGTTAAAATGAAAATCACATTGATTTTCATCGTTTTAGCGTATTTTACGCAGAAAGCTCATAGTGCCTCTCTTGGACATGAAACACCCGACGAACATGTACCATTGTTGCCGAAAATTCTAAATCTTTTCGGAGTAAATATACCGTTGAATAGCAAGTGATGATTTACAGTGAATTTTTATGTGCTTGTGTTTTTTTTTCCTTCGTCTTCTATTCCGAACAGGGACAAGCTCGACAAGGTGATATGATAGATCCGAGTGCCATAAACAGTGAAACAAATGCAGAAACGGAAGCTGAAGTAGATGACGAGTCGAAATCTGATAAACAACCGGGAAAAGGTAAACCGCCAAAGGTAAAACCACCATCACCACCATCAAAAGGAAAGGATCCACCGCCATCAAAAACTACAACACCTCCTCCACCTCCGCCATCGAAACCCATAAAACCAAGTAAGTTTTGCAAGTTTCGGCATTTTTGAGCAATTTTTTTTTAAAAAACATCGTTCAATAAGTGAATTTGATGTTTTGCGAACATAAAAACCGATGCATGATTTTTTTTTGATCGTCCACCAAATTAATCTTTCGAACCATCTCCTTTTCAGCTACTCCGCCACCACCACCTCCAACTGTCAAACCAATTAAGCCAAATGTTTTTGGTAAATTTTAGACCATTTTTCTTTCATATTCAAAAAAAAAAACGATTTGTGCACAATCGTCGTATAAAAAGTTCATTTTTCGATATTTATGAAATAATGAATTCAATTTTGATATTTTTAGTTAAACCACCACCACCACCATCGCCATATGGACCGGTAGCACCTCCTCCAGGACCACAACATCCATATCACTATCCCTACTCGGTCGTTGATCCAGCCAGCCCGTTTGCACAACCACAGTATGGACATCATTTCTCCGCACCGCCTGCACCATTGCCTAGCCCTGAATTCTACGGACCACCTGCAGAATTCGCACCTGCTCAATATGATACGCCAGAAAATAGCTATCGTCAAAGTCATCATTCAAAGTACGATCAACACCATTTAAATCAATGATTTCACTTTTCAATTTTCAAAATGTTGAATGTTTCCATAGAGCGAGATCGCAAGATGAACACAACGTGCAAAATGTGCAGAACACGCAATTAGGAGCAGCCTACGCTCCTTCGCTCGCCAGCTATGTTCCTCAAAAACCAGCTTACGCTCCTAGCTATGCACCACCTAGCTATGCACCACCCAGCTATTCTCCTGTCCAATGTCCGCAAAACTTATTAGTCGGCTGCCAGCCGAGTGTTCAATCGGTCCCATGCTCTGCGTACAGCCCACTAGCAGCACCGTATGTTCCTGCTCCTGTTTATCCCTCAAAACCGGTTTACCGTTATGCAGCTGAAGAAGAAGAACCACAACAGCAGCCACAGCAAACGTAAGTTTGAGCCAACATTTTTCTTTTCTATTTATTTTTTTTCGTCGCATTTCCAATTGAACATCTTCTTCACAGTTTCAACGAACAAGGAACGATGCTTGGAAGTCAACGACCCTCTCAATCTGATTTCATGGAGTATGATTACTTTGCCACTAATGGAAATCATCATGGCCAAAAACAAGCACTGCACTCGACACCGAAACAGCATGCAAAACCCCAAAAAGATGTGTCAATTAAAAAAGAAGTAGAAAAAGAATCAAGTTTAGGTGCAACCCTGAACAGCGAACCTTTGGTTGAACAGGTAATTTAGATTTTCATTGTTTAAAAATTGGCAAAATTGCCCTGAGTTGACGAGTTTTCCGAATTTCGATAGAAGAAAACAAAACGCTCTACAACTTTTTAATTTTGTTCGTTTTTATCGTTTGTTCGATCAACAGCAAACGCCGGATTTGCCGCAAATTCCATCAAGTGGATCTCAAAACGTGCAACAAATGCCGGAAGCTCAACAAACACCAACGATGACACAACAACAAGCGCCATTCTCTCAACAACAAATGCGACAAATGGAAATGCCACAAAATCAAGCATTACCACAACAACAACAGACTTCCATGATGACACATCCGGGTTTCAGACAACAAGTGTCAGATTCTCAACCGCTCCCATCGAATTTTCAACAAGTCCCACAGATGATGCAACTGTCTGGAGTCGGCCAGCAGTTCGTACAACAAGCACCACCGCTGACACAACAAGAATTCGTCGGCCAACCATTCAACCAAGCGTAAGTTCCGAATTGCCATATTTTCCTCTGTTTTTTTTTTTCGACAAAAAATCTGCTATCGCATTTTAAAATATCGTCTTTGCTTTTTGCACAGTTTCAACGGACAAGAAATGATGGTTGGAAGTAGACATCCCGAATATATGCGCATCCACTTCTACAGAGACTCAGTTGATCCTGACGGCGGATACTATCCACAGCATCATGTGAAACAACACAAGCATAAACACCACACCAAACATCATAAGCATAAGCAGGAGCAATTTGATCCAGAAGCTAATACCGACCCAGAACCACAGCCGGATCCAGAGCCGCATCTAAAGATTCATCATTCCAAAAAGCATCATGAAGAAACGTCAAAGGCTGATGAAAAAGACGCATCAATCAGAAGAGAAGAGACCGAAGAAGGAAACAGAGAAAGTTTAGGCGCGACATTGGACACCCAAACTACACTCGAACAGGTATATACATAGCTAATATTTCAATGTTCTTTTTCTTCTGTTTCTATTCCATGCAATTTTCAAAGTGAAATGTTTTTGTTCAGTTCAAATTCACTCATTTTTTTCAATTAAAAAAATGTCTGCAAAGTGATTGATTAAAATTGTCGGTTTTTCTTTTCCAAATCAAATAACAGCAAGCGCCAAATTTTGCTCAAATTCCAACGAGTTCACCGCAAAATATGCAACAAATGCCACAACAACAGATTCCACAACAGGGACCAATGATGACCCATTCGGTATTCGCTCAACAACCAATGCCACAAATGGCAGTGCCACAAAGTCCAGCCTTTTCACCACAGCCATCCATGATGACTCATCCGATTTTCTTCGGACAACAAGTGTCAAATTTCCAACAATCACCACCAAATCCACCTCAGATGATGCGACAAATGTCTGCAGCTGACTCGCAATTCACACAACAACAACCACTACAGCAAGCACCAATGATGCGGCAACACAGTTTTATCCGTCAAGCACAAGGGTAAGCATTAAAATTGTGTCGCTTTTGTTTTTCTCTGCCAAATTATGAATCGCATTGCTCGTCATTTTCAGTGCAATTTAATACAAATTTCTCATCAATTTTCCGTTTTTCTCTGTCTTTATTCACAGTTTCAACGAAATGAATCAGGAGATGCCGCTTTCGCATCACGTCAAACAGCACCTCAAACATCATCAAAATCATCCTGAACAATTCGAATCGTTGAACGTAGATCCAAATGTGAAATTCGAGGAAAAAACTTCCACTGGCGGAATAATCCCAAAGAGACCAAGAGAAGAGCCTGAAGACTCAATTGAAAAAAATTCAAGTGCCGCTGTCGACAATGAATCATCGATTGGACAGGTAAATTGAAATCGGTATATAAAGTGAAAAAAAATCAGTTCGTTCAAATTGATTTTGCCTTACAAATTGAAAAAAAAAACGATGATGAAATTCCATAATTTTGTGCATGTATTTAATTTCGACCAATTTTCTTTTTTCAATCTCAATAAATAGGAAGCGCCAAATTTCCCTCAAATGCCATCGAATGCACCTCAGATGATGCGACAAATGCCAGCAGTCGATCCTCGATTCGCGCAACAGCCACCACAGCAAGCACCGATGATGCCGCAGCCAATGTCACTTCCACAGCAACAAATGCGACAAATGGAAGCGCCGGAATTTCAACAAGCACCACCGATGATGATGCCAGTTCACCTAACACATCCAAGCATGCGTCAAGCTGCTGAGCGACAATTTCCGATGCCACCTCAACATATCCCATCGACTCCGCAACGATTTGCAATGGCTCCATTCGGGTTCGGACAACAAATGCGCCAAATGGAAGAAGATCCACGTATGCAGCCAATGCATATGAATGCAATGGGCTTCAGCCAACAACGAAGCAACGATCAATTTGAGCAAGCATTCCCAATGCACCAATTTGATCAGATGAACCAGCAACCAAACCAACATCATTTTGTTAGTATGGCCAATCCGTTCGCCGAACAAGCGCAATTCGCAGCAGGAGATAACACATACTACTACTGATGATCGGCATTTTTGCCATTTCTCGATTGGACTATGATCGTTCGACTCATGCGAAAGAAAAAAAAACAATTACATTCATTTTGCATTCTTTTAACAATTTTCATTTTTCAAATATATAATCTGTAATAGTAAGTTTTTTTATTGGCAAAATTAAAGCATCAAGAAAAATCAGCAAAAATGTTCCGTTTTTTACTTCGAACTTGTGAAAATTTTCAGCAGAATCTGTTTTGAATTTATGGTAAGAATGCAGGAAAATGGTCATTTTTTGGAACAGATGATTTTTTCGAGAAGGTCGCTCGAACTAAAGTCGCTCGAAAATAAAAAAAAATGTCGCGCGACTTTAAAAAAAAAATTCAAAATGAATTTATCACTTCAGTGGATTTTCGTTCTTGTGCATCAAATTGCATTGGAATTATCATCAAACTAGTATGATTCTTTTTCTTCGTTTTCATTTCAATTATCGCTCTTTACTAACATGGAAAAAATCACAATTTTATTGAAATTCAATAGAAGTTTTGATATTATGACGTATTTCAGAGTTTTTTCTTTTTGTTTTCTTCGACTTTTTTAGGGTGAAGCTAAAATCGGTATTTTCATCAATGCAACAACGAGTGATCGTATCAATGCATGCATTTTGATCACGATATTCAATTCCGATGACTAAGTTGTTTCCCATCGATATTCGTCGAAAAGTCTTTGCGTGTCACATTCATTGCTGACCAGAAAAATACAAGAATTCCAATGGAAATGTTCGTAGTTGTCGACAAAGCCAAGTAAATTGAAAGCTCTACAAGTTTCTTGATGATGCATATGAAAAGTTCGTGTGCATAACGTCCATAAAAGCAACTCAGAATACAAACCATTGCATGGAACTTCGCAAAGAAAAGAAGAAAAGATTGAAATTCTGTAATTTTCAAAACTATCGCTATAAAATGACAAACACGCTTTTGTTTGATGCTCTGCTAAAAATTTCGATTTTATTCAATAAAATTTAAGTATAAAAACATTCGACTAAATCTAAATGCGTTGCAACGTTTCAATAAATTCAATGCAGGTGTCAGATCTAGTTGTTCTGGAATTAATCGCTTCAGTATGCGCCATATGGTGGAGGTGGTGGTGGTGGTGGTGCACATGGTACGTATTGAACTTGTGGGGCACAACCGATCAATAGATTTTGTGGGCATTGAACAGGTGCTGAAATGAAAAAAAATGAAGGATTTTCAGTCAATATTCGGCACTCTGTTGTTTCAACTCTCAATCGTATTGCTTCGATTGCAAATAAAAGAGAATCACATGATTAACACTGTTTCGCTAGCGATGTGAAGATTCAAAAAGAGAAAATTTTCAAAGTTTACCTGGTGGAGGCGAAGCGTAAGTTTTTGGAACTACATACGGGGCCGGTGCTATGAGAAAATTAGACAGAAAGTAAACACATTCATTAGATTCATACAAACCAAATTAAAATGGATTTTTGGCCAATTAATCAGATTTCGACACGATCAGGGACAGGTGGTGGTGCACATGGTACGTATTGAACTTGTGGGGCACAACCGATCAATAGATTTTACGTTTCCCACAATCAATGTGATTACGAAATACCACAGTTAGTTGTGGGAGCAATTGAATTGGTGGCAAAAAAAAAAGAATTTTCGATGAAATTACCTGGAGCCGGATACGCTTTTGGTGGATAGCCAGCTGCTTTCTTGGGCACATATACAGGAGTATCATAGGGTGTCGCATATCTCATTTCCATTTCCTCTTTTTCCAAATCATTTTCGTCCTCTCTGAAACCACCAAAACCGCCACTATTGATACCAAAGCCACCGATTCCTTCCGAGACGAAAAAAAAACAAAAACAAAATGACTTACATCAGTTTCGATCCATTTTATTCAGTTACACAAAACGTAATCACTTTGTTACTTGAAAATCACTTGAAATCAGTTTCTTTGATGAAAAAATGTTGGATTTTAAGTCAATTACCTCCTTGGTTGCTTGATTGTTGGAAATTGGTGCTACTTCCACGTCTTCCAAATGATGCAATCGTGCCGAAAGCGGTGTTGGTGTTCTGATTAAAATTGGTATTTTGATTGGCAAAATTGGCACCACCTCCAGCTGCACTAAAGCCGCTACCGAATCCACCGCCAAATCCACCACCAAATCCAGGCCTACCGAATTGTGCATTGGTCAATGTTAAATGCACAGCCAAAATGACCAGCAAGCAAGACAATTTTCTCGAATACATGATGAACACAATCACTTTGCGATGTCGTCCAACGGTGATCGATTTAATGAATGAATTGAATTGAACTGAACTGATCGAATCAATTGACTGGTGAATATATTCAACGCTTCCACGAAATCGCTATTAGATTCGGTCAGCAAATTGTTGAAGACAGAAAAAAAACTGGTGAATACGAAAAAACGCAACTTTCGCAGAAAATGAGTTCAAATTTCATTCACTTTTTTTAAAAATTTGTGTCAAATTGCCGTTGGCTCTTGGATTTATGTATTGTAGACGATATATCATTAATTCCCTACCTATGCGTTGTTTATTTGTTTTTGCTGAATTGAATTCAATTTTAATTCATAAATTCGATTCATTTCTGGAAAATCATTCATAGTGAGAGTGTTAAAACGAATTTGAAAGTCGACAAACTTGAAGGTTAGACATAATGAGGTTGCTGTTAATTGTTTTTGTCGCATTTTTCGTGCGTGCAAATAGTGAAACATTTCCGCTGCCACTGACCAGTACGGAAGCATCAACTAGGAATAGTGAAACTATTACCGAAATTTTTCCTGTTGTGGCAACAACAACTGTGTCAACGGATGCTCAAGTGAAAAATACATCACCTACAGAAAATGCAAGTGCCTCGGACGAAGTGTTGAATGTGGCAAATACAGCAACAGCAACAGCAATTGCAATCGCAGAGGTATAACGCAGTGAGAGTATAAAATAGATTGGTTCAAAGAGTGAAATGTACGGTATAAGTGTGATTTAAAATCTAATCCGTTTGTAATTTTCTTCCTTCTCAAAACTGTTCAGCGTGAAAGCGATAGTGACAATGGATCTTTCGATAAGAGTGAACTATCATCAAGTTATGCCAGTTATGGCCCAGCAGCTGAGTTACCTCCCATTTCCTATGATAGGCCAGTCAAAGTTCAACAATATGGTAACGATGCCGGCGGCTACGGAGGACCGCTAAAGTATGTTCGGTACCGCATCGTTCAATGGGCTTGAGATAATTCTGCATTTTTTTCCGTGTTTTCTTTTAGTTTCCATAGTGGCTGTGCATGTGTTTGTCCGCAGCAATCATATGGTCAAGGTAAATAAAATACAACCAATGTTTTATTGTCACGACATTATGTGGAATTTACCATTTTTAGTTAGGTTTTTTCTTTCACCTTTCTTTTTCTTAACATGAGAAAGTGACATTTTGTTTTTTTTCCAACATTAGCTTCAGCTTATGTACCACCAGCTCCAAAACGTATGTGTGATTTCATTTAAAACCGGCTGAAAAAGCTGATGCAAACCTCAATTTTGAATATTCTGTTTTAAAATATTTGGATTTTTTTTTATTGTTCGTTACAGCATACACACCTCCTTCATCGGCTGCTTATACTGTCCCAGCGGCTCCTCCTGCAGTCTACATGCCTCCGACTGTCCCGGTTTATCCACCTTCACCACCAAAAGGTATTTTTATTGTGTCTAAGTGAAGAAAATCATTGCTTCTTTTCGATTTCGTGCGCAATTTTTAATTTTGGTCATTTTTTGTTTTATTTGCTGAATATAGCGTACACACCTCCTCCATCTGCTTCTTACACTATTCCGACTGCTCCAGTATACAGTGTTCCTGTGCCACCAAAAGGTATGTAAAATGCTCAGAAAACGCGTTTTCATCCAACATTTTCATCAAAACTATTGTAATATTCCCAATTTTCATTCTATTAACAGAAAATCCACCTGTTTATCAACCAGCTATCCCGTATTCACCGCCAAAAGGTATATTCATTGTGTTGAGTTTGAAAAAAAATACTTTTTATCAAGAAAAAAAAAATTGTTGATAGCTTTGAAACATTGCCAAATCGACTTTACAAATTCTTTTTTTGAATATTTTCTCCTTTGTTTTCAACAAATTTAATGTTAACTCGTTTTTTTCCCAACCAAAACAGCGTACTTACCACCTGTGCCAGCTCCAAAAGGTACAAAATTTGATTTTGATACAATTTTTTGAATATTTTGTTTGAATCGTCAACAAAAATGTTATTGTTGACGATAAACGTTGTTATGTTTTTGAATTGAAATATGTTCGAATAGAACCTAATCGATTTCGATTACCTTTAGCCTTCAAATACAATGCACCACCTAAGGAGGCTTACATGTACCGAATGGCCGATGATGATGATGACGAATTGTGAGTTTTCTCCATCAACAATTACCGAATTAGCCAGATTTTCATCACACATTTATTTATAGGTTTTGACTTGTTTTTTTTTTCATTTCAGAGAGGATTCTATACCTAACGAAGCGCACAGTCGGTCATCATATGCTCCTAATCCATCGTATCCACAGCAACAGCCACCACCAGTTTACGCAGCACCTTCTTATGTGCCTCCACAATCAACCTATGTACCATCAAAGACGACACATGAAGTTCCGAAGCCATTCTATGTCAATCCATCGCCTGCAATAAGCTATTCATACCCTTCATCGCCACCTCAAGTGGTAAGTGTTATTACTTGTTGCTTTGTATGGTTTTTTTTTCATTGTCACGACATTAGCTCATTTCTTCTCATATTTAAACGTTAAAATATTTTTTGCTAATAACTCCTCTTTTTTTTCTCCACAGAATTGCGGTGAAAATTTGCTCATTGGATGTTCGCCCACCGTCACAGAGGCGCCTTGTTCAGCACCATATCCATACTAGAGCTAGCCAAAATGACTAATCAAACAACATATTTTGCTGATCCAATTAAAACGTTTATATTTTGTACTATTTTGTTTTCTTCGTGGAAGAAACACACACACAAAACGAAATCGAATAAAATGCCGAAAACATATTTTGGAAATTAGAGAGAATGTGTCGTAATTTATTTTATCATTTCTGCTTTATTTGTGCTTTCTTCTTCTAATTCTACGAATGCTTAAAGCAAACAAAAATAGCGTAAACGAAACGCGCCCGTTTAATGCAATCCTAATGAATTAGCTGACCTAATCCATACATGCAATTTGGCAATCTGTTCAGTTTCATTTCTTTGTGAATCGATTGCGGTATCTATTGCCCGGCTCAAATTTAAATTGAAAATCTAAACAGATTAGCGAAATAAAATGGTGTTTCTTCATATTTTGGTGTTAATTTTACTGGTAAAGAATATTCTCGTTTTCAAAGTGATTGATTTATCGCCTGAACTAGATGAAAATCAACTTGATTCGCCGTCTTGTTCACCACTAAATTCTGGCTGTGCAAGCGTAACGAATTTCCTTGATGTTGCAACGGAATGGAACAGTGATGAGCTTTATGATGTTTGTATTTGAAATTGAGACACTGGCTCATTCGATTCTTATTGTCTGCGAAAATTTCATGTGCATTTTTTCCTACACATTATTCTAGAATGATTTGCTTATGGACGAAACAAAGATAAAATCGAAAAAGTCGTCAAAATCTCTTGCAAGAGACAATAAAGCGATAAACAGACGTTCTCGAATCCAAATGCATAAACCAGCCGGTGTAATTCAGCGAATAAGGCCAAGAAAACGTGACGCGATTTTTTCGAATGAAATTGATGCAAATTCAGTGAATGATGAGAGTGAGGAGTTTGATAGTGATCAACATGTCGAAAATGAGAGCGATTGGCATGATCAATTGGATGTCATTCGAATGCCACATTTATTGGGACCATCAGCGACAAAACATTCACCCATTCCCGTTGAACATCAACATCTCTCAACACCACCACCATCGTTTGGCTGCTACAAAGTATTGATCCAATGCAACCAATTTTATCCCATTGTATCATATATACCGTGCACAGAATTGGAACAGTTCAATCATCTTTTTTGCAATTAATTCTATCAATTTGATTAGTACTTAAGTTTAGTTTATTCAAACATTGGACATTGGTCAATGTTTTTTTTTTCTGTGTTCGCTTGACACACAGTGAAATTTCTTTTTGTTCGAAATAAATGTGCGGAGGAAAAAAACGGCTTCCAATTTTGTTTATCACTTTTTTTGTGACCCAACTTTGAAATAGATTGAGCAACAGAAAATGTGCCCATTGCAAATGCAGTCAAATAACATTTTGTGTTTGTGCTGCACAATTGCGTATTGCAAATTGACACCTCTTTTCCGTTATCGCTTGCTTGGTAATCACTGAAAAGTCAGGCATTTTTTATTGAAGCGAAAGTTTATTAGTTTGTTGAATCGAAGCAGCGAAAAAAAAACTATTTTCCTTACAAATGTATGTTTATTGCCCACCTCGAAAATCAGCGAAAGAAAAAAAAAACTATATAAAAATTGATTGATAATGACAAACAGCTTTTTGTTACGCTCAGCACAAATCGTACTATTTCCTAGCACTATCTCGTTCAGTAGAACTGATGAACAATCTCTATCTCGATCTATCCATGACGATGAGTTACCGTTTTTCCTATCTTGTGCGTTGCATTTAACAGAAGATCTCTCTCATACTCACTCGCATTCGAATGCATTCGATTAGGTTTTCTTTGTCGAACAGATTTTTTGAGATTTCAATCGCTTTAAATGTCCGTTTGTCTTGAATACAAAATGATTGTGCTACACAAACAAAGATCATTCGTTCAAATTTTCCATCGAAGATTTTGTGTGAACTGTACGACTTTTGATCAAGCTATTTTTTGGCAATGCGCAGCATTTTTCGAGCAAAATCACAAACTGGCACTTCTTTTCCATTTCCAAGCGATGAAATACGAATAGTCGGCCAATTTTTTTTTTCAAGCAAAATTTCATTAGTCTGCTGGATCGAAGCAGTGATTAAATGTTGATGATTTTATGCGTTGTTATTGAAAGTGCTGTTTGTTTCGTTTTTTTTTGTCTTTCGATATGAAACAGCAATATTGATAATTTTGCATTTCGACCGCGTTTTCAGCACATTTTATATATGGCCTATTTTTTGCAGACAAACAACCGATCGAAATTGGTATAAAAGGCTCAGCGATTTGATGGATCGATATCAGTTGCCGTTTGAGCATTCAGCCTAAAGCAGTAGCAGTTCTTTGAAGCCTGTAATCAAAACCAACCTCTCAACCATGAACACCATCGCTGTCGTTACCGTCATTTTGGCCGCTGTTTGCGGTTCATTGGCTGCCCCATCGTATGGAGCTGCTCCAGCCTACCCAGGTGAGCTTTCGAACTGCTTTTAATCACTTTTTTTTCTTTCCACAAAGCAAAATCAACGTTTTTGAATACTTTTTTTTCTCAACATAATCGTTCGTCTTTTCCATTTTAGCTGCACCGGCATACGGCCCACCAGCACCAGCTTATCCAGGTAAATATGAGATGCAATTCATTCTCTATTGACAACAACACTTCTCACGATCGTTTTCGAATTTCACACAATTGTTTTTGTCAACTATCCGAAATCCCAAATTTGACTAATTCCAACTTGTTTGTCTTTCTTTTTTCGCTTAGCTCCAGCTCCAGCTTACGCTCCAGCTCCAGCTCCAGCCTACGCTCCAGCTCCAGCCTACGCTCCAGCTCCAGCCTACGCTCCAGCCCCAGCACCATACGCCGCTAAGCCAGCCTATGCCCGTAAGTAAATCCACATTTTCGCTCGTGTCGATGATTGAACCATTGCTTTCGCTTGCATTGAGAGACATTCACGACAAAGAGACAAAGTTTTAACATACTTCGTTTTATCATTTCAGCTGCACCAGCCTACGCTCCAGCCTACCCACCCAAGACCTACACCTACCCAAGTCCACCACCAGCAGGTAAAATTTACTGCGAAAAATAAATATTTTTCTTCGAAAAAAAATTCACATCGCCAAAAAAACCGTATTAATAATAATCGTTCTCTTTCATTTGTCACCAGTTAAGTGCGGCCAAAATCTTCTCATCGGTTGCGCTCCAGCCGTGAGCACCGTTCCATGCCAACCACCTCCACCAGGTAAGACTTGATCGCGAATATGTCAACACTTCACTTCATTGAAATACAATTTTATCTTACTATGAATTGACTAATTTGTTTTTTTTTTTCATTCTTTTTATAGCATACCCAGCACCAGCACATTATGCCCCAGCTCCAGCACCATACGCCGCTAAGCCAGCATACGGTAAGAATATCAAAGTTTCTGCTTATGTCGCCAATCGAACCAATTCAATCTTGAATTAAAACAACAAAGTGCCAAAACACGACTGATCAATGACTTCAATTCATTTTATTTTTTTCATTATTTCGTTTAGCTCCAGCCCCTGCCTACGCTCCAGGTAACTATGAGATGCTATTCATTCACTACATTCACTTTTTTTTTCTCCTTTCAAAATCAAACATGAATATTTTCAATCAAACTAATGAATGTTTCGGTTCTGAAAACATCACTCTCACAATCGTTTTTAAATTTCATACATTTCTTTCTGTCAATTGAATTTTCCGAATGACTTTAACTAATTCCAACTTGTTTATCTTTTCTTCATTTTTCGTTTAGCTCCAGCCTACGCTCCTGCCCCAGCACCGTATGCACCAAAACCAGCCTACGCCGGTAAGAATATCAATATTACACTTTTTCGTTTTCAATCGAACGAACGTTCCAAAGTTCCAAAATGACTTTGACTAATTCCATATTGTTTTTTTTTTCTTTTTCATCATTTCGTTTAGCTCCAGCCCCTGCCTACCCAGCACCAAAACCATACTAGAAGATCTTCTGCGACGATGATCAACGTATGACAACAATGGACCGACCAGCAGATTGAAATTGGACATCGATTTATCTTCTATTTTGAAAATTCATTTCAATTAAGCTTAAAAGCATTGGTTATCAATGTATCAAATTCTGCAAATAAAAAAAATCAATTAAAAAAAATCACATGAAACAAAAAAAAAACCAACTCTTTCCATTTCATCATTTGATTTTACAGCTCTCTTCCATTCCCTTGTTACAGGTCTCTTCCTTTTCTTTTATAGCTTGGTTTTTTTTTCTCTTTCTTGTTTGCATCTGATCTCAAACAAACATTCGATTGAAGAATGCTAACTTTTTGTGTGTGATTGGAACAATTCCAGTGTTTGAAGAGCATTTCTCCCCAATATCATTGAACAAAAATTGAAATTTCCCCTTTCAAATATGAATTTCACATGAAATAATCCCAATATCTTGTTTAACGTTCATTCCAACTTGAATATAGCAGCAGTAGCAGCATTGAATAATGGCCGATCTTGTTTCGTATACGTAATTCGTATTACAAAAGTGCAAAACTGACAGTTGACAGATATTGGTGGCATCAGCAGCAGCAGCAGTAAATGTCATGAACACAAGTTGAACACGGCACACATTGCCAGTAAACAAAAACATTGGTTAGAAACGTTTTGATTTAATTTGGTCACGCAAAGAAAGGAGAGTGAAAATGAGTAGTTTTCAAAAAAGACGAAGCACTCCATTGTTGTCTGGTGGTAAACAGTCTTTGCACACCGGTCAACAGCTGGTGTCAACCGGTAATCCGGCTTTGGATTATGTTTTGGGTAATAGAATTATTTGTGTGTGTGTGTGTGTGTCTGTCTGTCTAGCGAAACGCATTCTCATTTCTTGATTGTTTTTTCTAGGTGGTGGATTGCCAATCGGTTCAATTATGTTAATCGAAGAGGATAAAATCGGTCGTTATGCCAAATATCTAACGAAATTGTTTCTCGCCGAAGGTACCGTTCATAAGCACGCATTGTTTGTAGCAAATTTCGATCATGATCCACAAGACACGGTATTTTTTTTACTTACGCTTTTAGTGCTCACTTAAGAAAAGAACATTAAAATGTTATTATTTCAATGAACTAGGTAAAAAAATTGCCACCAATGGTACCAGAATCCACAACATTTACTGCAGCAACAGCATCACTCACATCGCAACCTATACCGAATACCGTTCTGAATGATGAGATGCGGATCGCATGGCGATACAATAATTTGGACAAAGTCAATGCTGAACAGGGCAATCAAAAGAATTCGTACACATTTGATTTGTCGCAATCAATTGAAGACGGTGCCTTAGACTCCTTTGATATTACACTATTTGGAAAGGATAAAGCGGCTGAAGTGCATTCAATGGAGAATAAAATCTTTCATAATCCGGCTTATGTGTCGTTGATCCAGCAATTGCAACAGAAATTGAGCGATCCGACGTTCGAAGCGGTTGGCGGTCAATCATCGTCGTCATCATCAACGGCAACGACAAAAAATCTACTGCGAATCTGCATCGAATCATTTGGATCGCCATTTTGGTACACCGAACATTTCACTGAAGACATTTGCCTATTTTTAACCATATTGAAAGCCGCCGTTCGAGTTTCACTTTCCGTTTGCTGCATTACCGTTCCAACGCATCTATTCAAGTACATTGTAGGTCATTTGAATCGAATCAATCTGCCCCATTTGCATATAGCATTCACTACTATTCCCTTTATTCCCTTGTAGAACCAAACGTTAATTCATCGTGTACGGAATTTAGTCGATTATGCCATTGAATTGGAATCGTTTGCCGGTTCGGGTAAAGAAACGAATCCCGTGTTCAAGGAATACAATGGATTATTTTTCATACGAAAGATGGCCGCATTGAACGCTCTGGCCGCACACACGCCTGAAACCTATGATTTGGCATTTAAATTGCGTCGAAAGCGATTTGTCATCGAGAAATTACATTTGCCGCCCGAGCTTCAAGAATCGGAACAACGTGGTGACCAAGACGACGAACCAATGTTATCGGCATTAAGCTGTGCTAGTACCAAGAAACATTTGTTAGAATTTTAAAGATTTCGTTGAAAAATATACCATACTCTACCTATTTGACATCATGTTTACTGTTGATTCATTGAAGAAAAAAAAAACCAGTTGTGCTGTGTATCCATCGCTTTGCTTTGCTTTGTGTTTGTTGAGAAATTGGTTGCCGGCATAAACCTAAGACTCATACACACCGTGCAACAAAACCAACAAGAAGGAGAACGAAGAAAGAAGAAGCGCTTTTTTACATGTTGGATTAGACAAAACTGTAAATTATACAAGAGAAGCCATCAAAGTGGAAAACGATGAAAAAGAAAGCGCAGTGCGCGCAACGGCTACTTCAGAAAATTTTCGTTTCGCAAAACGCGTTTTAAGCAATCCAGTCTGTGAATTTTAAATGAAAGAAACGTGTCAAGTGGCATTGCCAGACGACGACGACGATGAGGACGACGATGACGACGACAATAACAGCCATGGCTATAGAGACAAACACAAGAAATCAAGAGCACACGCACACATGAACGAAACAGGGCTGAGCTGAGCTGAGCACGGAGTGCAAAGTCAGGGGATGTATGAGAGACGGGAGAAAGCGAGAGAGGGAGAGAAACGGGTTGGAATTATTATTCCACTCAGGAAGCTTGATCGATTGTAACTAACATATTACAGGTCGGTCGCCAAGACGTGAGCTGCTTTATTTCCTTCTATTTTTTTTTTATATTATTATACCACAAACAAATGTGTATATACTATATATAGGTATTTGGTTTTTGTACCGTTTGAATGAAAAATTACAACAGCTTCCCAAAATGAGAGGCAACTATAGCATTTTCTCGCGGCTGTGTACACTGCATTATATGGTGGTTATTTGCGGGATTCCGTGTGTCGTTATTCATTATCCATTGCACAATCCATGTTTTCAATCGTGCACTTACAAACCAACCAAGCAAATGCTGTGTGGAATGTGCTTTGGCTGCCTTTTTGATGTACAATGTCGAGATTATCGCGCCGACAAAACTACTGTATGCTACGTTTACGACAAACGATGAGTATTTTGTCGTCATTGTCGCGCCGCTGCAAATGCCACACAGACGGATAAGGATAAGGGGTGCAAGACCTGAACGCGGCTAAACAATAGTAAACAAATTGCTCATGTTTTTAGCACTCATCAAGAAGAAAATTTTGTCATCTTGTTGTTGTTGTTTTTTTCGTGTGTAGCATCAGCATTCAGCAGCAGCAGCAGCGGCTCATAATCATGAATCGGTGTTTCGACACTGTTTTCTTTTTGTGTATGTACCTACTCTTAATTTTAACACCACCGTCACCACCCCAACCATTAACATTGTCACTGCCACACAACGTCCTTGCCGTCTCTCATCCTCCCGATTGTTGTTGATTAATTTCAAAACAAACGTTTCTGTTTCTCATGTTTTTGCAGCATCATGAATTTCGGGATAATTGCACATTCTTCATCCATTCCGCCGATGTGCTGTTCTTGTTGTTGTTTTTTTTTCTTCTTCTTTCGAGTTTGTCTTTTGATTTTATGACTTCATTTAAACATGGTTGGTACCTTTTTTTTCGATCGTTGCATCACATTTTGTGCCTGTGTTTCGTTCCGTTTCATGTTCATTGCCACTCGAGAGAGAAAGAAAGAGACTGAGAGCGAAATGATATCGAGCTGCAATAATAATGTCGATAAAACATTGGGCCCCCCAAACGCCTGTTTGATCTCATTTCTCTCTCTCTCTCTCTCTCTCTCTCTCTCTCTCTCTCTTTCTTTCTTTCTTTCTTTCGGAATATTTCAACAAAGATAGTGACGGTATGCCAGTGCATCCGAAATGTTGTATGTTCAGTGCATTTGTGTGTACATGTGCAATGTTTATGTCATTGGCACGGTAAATGATTCGATGGCAAAATCCAAAATAGAGAGAGCAAGGGAGAGAGAGAGAAAACGACGAACGACAACGCTGGTTACATTGAAGCAAACTTAGTATATATATTCGATGTGAATAATAGAGCAATCGAGTCGACATATACAGCGCGATACTTGGTAAGCTTTAACCAGCCATCCAGCAGTTAGCCCATTTGTTGTGTGTATCGTTGCATTTTACTTTTTTTTGGTGTGTGCGCGCGAGCCTTAAAAAACGGCTTTTAAACTGCACAATGCACAACAAATATGTTCCGCTCCATTCAGAAATTGCTTTGATGTCTATTAAGTGAGAGGCTTCTTTTCTTGTTTCCGCTGTTGCTGCTGGGTGCTACTTATAAGATGGCTGCTAACAAAAAATTTAGGGTAGTTAATATTATTTTGTCACCGTGACTGCTGCAGCAGTGGCAGTGGCAACGACACCAGTAGCAGATGCATCCGTCAAACCATGGGCCTAGGTGTAAATGAATGAAGATTTAAATTCGAGATAATTTATCGAGAATGAATGACCATCCATCGATGAAGATGAATACAAGTTAAAAAGAGAAATTAAAGCAATTAAGAGAAAAGACTCTAAAACAATACCATTACGATTAAGCGCCGACAAAAATAAAACAACTAACACGGAAAACTGAGAGCGAACAAAAAACCAGAACAAAAGGAATAGGGATCTAAATAGAAGCAACGAAAAAAGAAGCAATTCATCATTGCATTTAGCGTGAGGATTTCGTTCTCTTTTTGTGTTTTGTTTTTCGTACGTGTGCTTCTTGTTCTTTGTGTAATCGCCGAAAAAAAAGAAGAAAAAACCGGAGCAATTCGGTTCGATTCGCACCGCAATCTTGTGTACATACGTGCATTCGTCGCTCTTACAATATATACTTGGCCACCCGTTCGTTCCACCGTTCATTCGTTCGCTCGCTAACATTGTATCGTATCGTATCTCATAGATACAATTCATTGGTTAAAAACGGAAAGAATCTCAAAAATTGAAACAGTACACATATTGGGAGATGTGCAGTGCGACATCAAACAAAGATAAAAGGTAGCTCAAACAACAAACGAAACAACAAACGCCGAAATGGAGAGAAAGAGAGAGAGAGAGAGAGAAATCAACCGATCCGGAATGAACCATGCAAGCAGATAGAGCATACAATAATGATGGATGCAAATGGTCGCAGGTTTCCAAAATACACACACACACACACACACGGAGAGAGATAGAGAGAGATTATATTTGAATGCAATCTATACACTAGGTTTATGTGCATATCTATACGACTGACTGGCTGGCTGGCTGCAACATACACACAGACATCGGTAGCAGCGAGACGAATCGTGTGATACAAAGTATTTGAATGGAGTTTGTGAATCGTCACAACCATTCTCCATTCGGCATGGCTGTGTAGTTGCGCGAGCCAACGTTCCCTTCATGCGTATTGGTTTGGCAGCTTTTTCAGTTTAGAAATGCTATACACATACACACACACACACACAAATGCACACTTGGTTGGCAGAAGTGCCACAGTAAGAATACTGTGCATAAATACATACACACACAAATATGCGCGCAATCACATTCAGATCGCACAGTAGCAAATCGGTACATACCGAACAACATGAACATTTCGAAAGTCTTCCTTCGGAACGTCACATATGACAAAACCGACACACATGCACACCGTACACAGTGCAAGGCATCATCTCATTAGAAATGTTCTCCCATTCGCACGCATACATACGCGGTTGCATCTGTGCAAATGGCAAATGGCTCCGCGCACACAATCACTCGACCACATACACACACACTCGCACGGACGCACAAACACATACACACATATACAGCGACACCCGACCAAGAGATAAAACCATACCAAACAATCGATTAACTTAACAGAACCTTGAAAATGGTGGTGTTATGAAGAAAAGAACGAACAAGTTTTTTTTCCCGTTCAACCATTACGGTTGCCATTTCTGGGTATGCGTGTATGTGTGAGTGTGTGAGAGAGTGGTTTCTTTCTTTTTCTTTCATGCCATTATTTTGTGTTTCATTCTTGTCGGTTGTCGATGTTACTGAGCTCAACGATTTACCTCATGAAATCTTCTCTCTGGTTTGTGTTCATTTTACGTTGGTCTTCGTTGTCGACATCGTACAGTTGTTGTTGCTGCTAATGTTAGTGTTCTCTTTCTATCATTTTGCGTGCGTCTCAGTTACACCGATTCTCGTTCGGTCGTCCGTTTGTTCGTTCGCTCAACGAAATATACAGAAATCGTGTGTGGTTGTGTGCGACGACAAAACGCGATTCAATCCCACAATCCAATGTGGAAGGACGCTAAAGAATACACATAATAATATTTATAATCATTTTTATTTTGTTCGAAAAAAAAGCAGCAGCAGCACCAACAAATTTCCAAGTAATTTTGCTGTTTAAATATTGCATTCGCATTTTAGTTTTTTGTGCATTGATTGATAATTGTGTGGTGATTTTATTTATTGATGGGTTTTTATATTCATAGCAACGACACAAAGACTGTGTGTGTATAAATTCGAGGCAAAGAAAACGCGCATCGATACAACAAGAAGTGCATCGCACCGAAAAAAAAACACAGAGAATGAAAGAAAAAAAAAACAAAAAAACACAGCGAGTGAGTGAAAGACTCTTCGTTCAATGGATTTTCAATACGAAAATTTAAGGCCGTGTTTCGTGAAGAAAATGGAATAATTTGTATGCGAATGAATTCAGTTTATTCCGAATAAATCGAGTGATTGCGTGATTTGAAAGGTTGCGAATACCTTTGATGTGTGTGATATGTGTGTATGTGCTATCTCTTTTGACTCTTCACCTTCATCATTATCAGAATAAAGGAGAGCAAGTTGCTTTCTTTTTCTTGAAATATTCGAAATATAAATCATTTCTGCAACGAAATTTCGATGATTACTCACACAATAAGTACGTTCGTTGGCGGAATCAGTGATGTGTGTGTGTATGTGCGCTTTGGGCTAGCCGAAATTATTGGCCTTATCCATCATAGTTCGTAATGGGAAACCGCCTTTCCATTCTATTGTGAATTTGTTCGATAGGAGCCCATGGCCTGAGCCTATGTACGTCAATCCTGGACGCAATATAAATTTCCAAATATTTTCCATCAACAATAACAACGAAAAAAAAAGTTGAAAAGATTCAAGTGAATTCAATGAACTAAGTGGCAAGAGATGCGAAGAGATTTATTGGTACTGTTAATCAGGCAGATTACTTCGTATCATCCATTTCGTAGACTCTCTTCCATCTATATCATTCATCTACCTCATCGATTTAATAATATGGGAGAGGAAGAAAAAAAAACAGTATATATCTATTAACATCATCATCATCAACATCAACATCATCGACAACACAGTGTCTTCAGTTCGCTCTCACATATATCGACGATGTCGCCGTCGTGTGTTGTCAATGTTATTGTTGTTGTTAGTTTCGACGGTCGTCGTCGTCGTCAATTTTCGTTCATTTTGTCAGCGTACTTTGAGCCAACGAGTTGTGAGCCAAATGAAATGTGTGTGATCGGGTGTGCATGTGCATACGTGTGTATGCGTGTTGATGATGATGATGGTCCCATGATGTGTGCTGTGTTTCAATGGATAGGCTCCGCTCTATAAAAAATGCAAACCAAGAAAGAGCATTTCCACATCCTATCGCTGAATGAGTGAGAAAAGACGGCTTAAAATCTATCGTTTCGTGAATTTGACTGTGGTGAATAGGGACGAAAGCTTGAATCGAATCCAAAAAAAGATCATCTAAAAAATGAGATACAATTGTTGACACTTTTTCAGTGTCAGGCCATAGTCGTCGTCGTCACCATCGCTATTCTACCTCATCTGCTCTCATTTGCACCCATTGATTTGTTTCCAGAAAATAATTGGATCGCACCCGTAGCCAAGAAACAAAAATGCTTCCGTTCCGGGCACACATACCTACAATTCGCCATCGTGAAAAAAGGTCGAATAAAAAAAAACAGAAACATACACACAGATTTCAAAAGTTTCTCGAACCAAAAATAATGACAGGAGTTGGACGTACTTTCAATTAACATTTTTTTTTGTTGCTTCTTCTTCTTTTTCTTTTACTTCTTTCACTGTGAGATGGTATCCGCTGAGGCTTTTCTTTTGGAGCTCAACCATCGTCACACCGTCATACATCGTTTTGTGTACACGCTTGTTGTTTTTGATTTCATTTTTTTTTGTGTGTTCGTTCATTCTTTCTCTTTCGGTGTTTTTTTTTTCTTCTTCTTTCTGTGTTCTTCTTTCATTGCCAGTTCCTTTTTTTCCCGTATCTTTTGCTACATATTCTTTTGTTTCTTTGACTCTCTGCTATGCTGTTTCGTCAATGTGTTACTGTGGTGCAATTTCACCTCGCATAGGCTCGTCGTGTGTCTTGTGTGAATGTGCTTCATCGTCGTCGTCGTCGTCGTCGTCGTCGTCGGTCGTCGTTGTCGCTCTTCATATTCTCTGTTACTATTTTCTTTTTTTCGAAGCGCGTCTCATATATGCCGTGTGTTGTTGGTTTTTCAATTCATCACAAATGCACGATTCGCTTTTTTTCTTTCTCTTCTTCAACACTGTGTGCTGCTGCTGCAGCGACTTGTTCTCGTTCTCTTTTCTCCTTTCACCTTTCATCTTTCGATGATTCCATTCGTTCGTTCTTTCGCCTGCTTGGTTGCTCGTGTTCTTTTTTCTGCTCTTCTTCTTCTTTCGTTGTGTTGTATTTCAATTTTCTTCTTTTCTCCAGTGCCTTTTTTTGGCCATTAAAAACCATTAAAAAACATTTTGGTTTTTTTTCGCCATCATGTATCACACACAATGTTTGACGAAGCGCAGCGCAGCGCAGTATCATTACTCTCAACTATACTCGGTTGTTTTTTTTTGTATATATGCATACGTGTATATGCATGCATATATTGTATTGAATTGAATGGCACACACATCGTACCGCACCGCACAAATAGACACCGCGCCGACTATAGATAGATAGAGAGAGAGATGATTGTAATCCTTTTAACAAATATTACATCAGTTAGTTTAGTCATTTCAGATGGTCGGCGATTCTGAAATTGGTCCCATTTCGAATCGGAACCACCTAGGAGATGAAGTAAAAAAATAATATAAGAAATGAATTATTATTCTTAATCGCACCATAATATTATCAAAACAAATTTGAACAGAGAAATGGTGGAGGAAACATAAACCGAAGACATTTTGTCGAATTTAAACAAGCGAACCGAAAAAAGAAGAAGAACTGAAAAGAAAACATACGGATTATTAGCAACGAAAAACATCTAAGCGGATTATCTCCACTAAATCGCCATAAATAAAGTTGAGTGAAAAAAGTAGTAAACAATCAATCAGCCATGTTCGCATAATTAATAAACATGAGCAAAAGCTATCACCTATTAAGCGAACATAGTTTGTTCAGTGCTTTGTATCATCTTCTTTTTTCGGTTGTGAATGTATGTCTTTTTTTCGCTCTCTCCCTCTCTTCGCTTCTCTTGTCGGTTTTCTTCTTGATTCTTCTTCTTCTGCTGCTGTGGCGTTGTTGTTTTTACTTTTTTCGCCAATTCATCGTTGTATACGAGCCAAAGAGAATGGCTCTTTCTATCCATCTCATTGGAGCATGTGTGTGTGGAGTTTGTGTGCGGTAACCAAATTATACGGTTTCGTTTTTTTTTTTTTTTTGTAAAACAAAAAAAATCGAGTTGATGTCGTTCTTTCTCCTCCGGTTTGGCTTATATAGTTGAAGCTCATGTTTTTCTTGTTATGTTGTTGTTGCCTTTTATTCGGTGTCCATTATTGTTGTTGTTTATTTGATGAGTGTATGAGTGACATCAAATTAGAGAGAGAGAGAGAGAGAGAGAGAGAGAGAAAGAGAGAGAGAAAGAGAAAGAGAAAGAGAAAGAGAAAGAGAAAGACCCTTTAAAAATGACCACATTATCATCAACCTGTGCACCGGAAACACTTTTGACCAAAAAATGAAGACCTTCATGCGAGCCAATTTTTGGCAACACACGCCACAATCCAAACCACTCAGTCAATCGTTTTAATCGCTTGTTTTCTTCCCACAGCTCATCCAACTAAAACAGTCAAAAATCGATCGAAGTGAACCGAATCAAAATGGGAAGATCCCATTGTGCGTCGTCATCAACAACATCAAGAGTAAAAACACCAGCAGCAGTAGCAGTGGAAACAGCCGCACCAGCAGCACCACAACTAAATTAATAAAGTGTGTCGAGACGAAAAAAAAACACGACGGCAAACTGAAATTACAAAAAAGAGTGCGCCAGAAAAAGTGAAGAAGAATTGAAAAGAAAAAGAAAAACGACGAGCACCCGACGAAGAAAAAAAAAAGTTGTCTTTAATTAAGTGCAAGTCAGCGATATCAATTAAAAAGTTTTCCCAAAGCAATTACATTTCCAAATGAAATATTGCGGACAATTGAATGATCCATGAGCGTTTGGAATGAGAGAACAAGTACAAGCATCGGCAAACTCAAAAATGGATTATGTGAAATTTCGGCGCTTGATTTTAATTTGATGATGAATTACATACAATCGATTTGATGCAAAATGACGAGGAACTGTTTCCAATCGTAATAATCAAATGACAAGTGAATCTAAAGTAAATAGTGTTTATTGTGTGTGAATGAGTGCGTACGTTGCGTGCGTACACGTTCGATTTTCATTTTTCCTGTCTGACAACATTTTTCAATCGTGATACAATAACATCTATTTCCATATATGAAACGCGTTTAGTTTGTGCACTCATGATTTTTCTGACGTAAAAGAACATTCATTTCATGTGTGCCGGCTAAATGATGAGAGAACAAAACATGGACAAAAAAATTAGTGAATTAAATGGTTCAAGACTGCCATCATCAACATCAACAGCATCGACAACAACAACAGCAGCAGCATCATCATCATCATCATCATCATCATCATCATCATCATCATCGTTATCCAATGAAGAAAGACTTGACAGATGTTTGCATTCGCAACACAATGAATACTCGCCAAAACAAATTAAGCTGCCATTTTTTTATCATAAACAACATCATCACAATCAACAGCAACATCATCAGGAGCAACAATTCAAACATTCCGATATCGAAACGCCATTCATAGCTAGTAATAGTCGAAACAATCATCACAGCCATCATCGGATACATCATCCGAAACGATGGCTACTATCGTCGTCGTCGTCGAAACAATCCCATCGGCACAAATGCCATCCAAGACGGCGGCAACAACACCAACATCAGTTAAACGAACAGTTCTCCGACGAGCACACAAATTCCACACAGAAGCATTTTAGCAAGAAATTTAGTTTTACTCAACATAGTAATCATCTTAGTCGATTTTATATGATTTTTGTAATATTCCTCATATATTTGCTGGACAAAACCAACTGTGATCAAGGTAAGTGAGATAGCATGCATTGCAAGTGGATTTGCACTGAACTGTCGTCATTGTTGTGAATCATCAAAGCAATGAAAGTATTTTATCCATAATACACTTCTTGTCGTTGTGTGTTTTTTCCTTCTCCGCATTGACCCCATAATGCAAAGTGCCGTTCCCGTTGAATCATGACATATGACTCATACCACGAACTTTCAAGCATAGAAGAATCTAATCGATCTATCCTTTTTTGCTGCTGCTGTTGAATAATGAAGAACCATTAATTTGCAAAAAAAGGAAATTTGTTAGTTTTATTTTTGAAAGTTTTGAATTAATTCGCCATTTATCATTCGCCTTGATGATTCCTTTCGAAACGGAATATTTCACTCTAGAATATTCTCCACTCGAAAATCCATATTCCAATCCGAGTCATCTCGTTCCCATTCATTATGCTAAAACTTTGTTCTTATTCACGTTTTGTGTTATCTTACAGTTGTGTTGTTGGACACAACAAAGGAAGCCACCCTCGAATGGACGCGTTATCCATATGGACCACAAGCTCAAACGCCTGGCGTAAGTATATATTGATTTTCCACCCGAACAACTCCCACTCATTTCATTTGTCAAGATTTAACTTTGATTCACACTTCTCAACTCTCGATACTCATTGCATTTTCTTATCGGCATTTTCCAATCTATTTTGCCAGTGGGTTGAAGAATCATTCACAAACTTTGGCAAGGGTATCAATTGGCGTAGCTATGTCGTATGCGATGTGGCCTACAATAATGTGAACAATTGGCTTTGGTCGCCGTTCATCGATCGTGGCTCAGCAAATCGTTTGTACATTGAAATTCAGTTTACAATTCGTGACTGTTCGCTCTTCCCCGGCAACGCATTATCCTGCAAAGAAACATTCAGTTTGCTATTCTATGAATTTGATGCTGCCACACGAGAGCCACCGCCATGGCAACCGGAAAGTTATAAGCTGATTGGTAAGTAAAACTTTGCGCTAAATGCCATTGTTGGTTTCGAATTACACACGAACACCCTGTTCGGCATTTGGTTCTATTTTACAGCGCGAATAGCGGCTGGTGAAGGACGATTCAATCAGAATTCGGACGTTGACATCAACACTGAAGTGAAGAGCATTGCGGTGACGAAAAAAGGCGTTTATTTTGCGTTCCGTGATCAGGGTGCCTGCATCAGTGTGTTGGCCGTAAAAGTGTACTACATCACATGTCCAGCGATTACGGAGAATTTTGCACACTTCAATGAGACGCCAACCGGCCGCGAGATTACTATCATCGAAAAGCAAACGGGTATCTGTGTGAAAAATGCCGAATCCAGTGAAGCGCCCACGTATTTGTGCAAAGGTGATGGCAAATGGACGATTTTAACGAGCGGATGCAAGTGTAAGGTCGGCTTTGAGCCAGATCATGAGAAGCAAACGTGCACAGGTATGGAATATTTGTGGTTTTTTGTTCGATAACTTTTACCTATAACAAACCAAATGGTATCGTTTCAGTGTGTCCAATCGGAACGTTCCGTTCGACTGAGGTGACAAAGTGTACGGCATGCCCATTGAATTCGAAAGCGACGAAAAGTGGTAGTTCGTATTGTGCGTGTGTCGATGGTTATTATCGTCATCCGCGTGACAGTTTGCATATGCCATGCTATCGTCCACCGTCCAAACCGACCAACCTAACGCTTCTGTTTATGGATCAAACGAGCGCCATTCTGTCGTGGAACGCACCACAGCGACCAACAAATGAACTCTACGATTCGAAATACCGTAGCGATATTGTCTTCAAAGTGAAGTGTCCCGCTTGCAATTCCAATGTGGTGTTCATTCCAGCCACGGAAACATTTAACGACACCAAATTAACGATCAATAATTTAGAACCGGTCACAACGTACACCATACAAATTCATGCACTGAACAGCATTTCATATCCAATTTTTACGGACATCGATGGAAATGTCGATGGTAATATCAGCGATGCACAGGGTCATAATTCGAATTTATATACGAATAATGCCGGCACGGGTACATCCATCAATGAGCCACCAACGGAATTTGCTGAAATTACATTCACCACCGAATCGGCAATATTGAGCATGGTCTTTAATATACGAATTGTGACCATTACAAGCAATGAAGTTGAATTGGCGTGGGACAATCCGAGCGAGGCACCAATTGAATCGTATGAAGTTCGATGGTTCCCGAAAATGGAACTGGATGCCGTCAATAAAACAACACTGAGCACACACGAGCAACGAGCACACATTGACAATTTGCAAGAGAATACCGAGTATGGGTTTCAAGTGCGTTGCAAAACTGCCAACGGTTTCGGCCAATACAGCAACATCATATACGGGCAAACCCATCAAGGTGTCAGTCCAGGTAAGCGTGAAATGAATAATGGACTTTGATCGAAACAAAATTCATGAAAGCTTCTGGTCTACAAGGCGAAATTGTACTAAATCATTTCCATTTCTTTCAGTTTATGATGACTCCATGCAAATGCGAATTTTGGCCGGCGGCACCGTTGCTTTTGTGTGCATTCTAGTCTTAGGTATGCGTTTGGTCACCACATTCAACGAACACTATTCATAAGCACCCAAAATGCAATTTTAAATTGATTATAATAACATTTTTTCTGGATAATTTACAGTAATCGTTGCGAGTGTATGGTTCCTACGCTCAAAAAGTCAAGACGAACTCGACAAAAAGACTAACAATCACTTGCCACTACCGATGGACTATGCCAGCAACGAAGGTATGAGTTGTATTTGCTTGCTAAAATGCTTGTAATTAAAATGAATTGAGATATTTGAAGAAACCAGCCGAAATGCGGCCATTTCATTAGAGACAAGTGCTAAATTTTTCACAGAAACTAACTAGTTCATAGTTGAAATTGTAACGCGCAATAACTATACCGTAGAGAAATTTCTACTTGATTTAAGACCCATCGTTACTATACTATTGTATTGTTTATCGAGTAAATTCTGTCAATTCTCGAACGTATTGTGATCTCTTTGAAATTTTCCCGAACGTTTAACTAGAAAATTACCCAATTGACCAATAAAGTCGGTAATGCAGTTCACACATATTGACCTAGTCTCTATTTAGCGCAATCAACAACATTTTCCATTCAAAATATAGACAACAACTAATTCGCATAAATTTTTTTTCAAAATTTTACACACACAAAACAATTGAAACAATTTCTTTCTCTTTCTATCTTCTTTTATTTGGTTGACATGCATTCAGGACTCGTAGTTACATATAGTAAGTCCCACCCTCTGAACAAATGTTTCTTTTTTTATTTTTCAAACAACTTATTTCCCACCACGAAATAGTTCATGGATTTAGTTTGTTGTACAAATGATTTTGTTTTGGGTCGATTGACAACAACAAAAAAAAAACAAAATTTAAAAATATTTTCGAATTAAATATGCATGATGATCGTATTCTAACGTACCCGTTCCCATATCTCAATGTGTCTGTTGATTTTAGCATATCCGAATTTGTTTTATTTGTTTCTGTTTGAGTATTGAAAACCAATGTGTTGCATGAAATATTTTCGTTTTGTTTGATTTAAAAATCGATTCTTTTTCTTTGTGTTTATGTCAATAAAAAAAAAACATGCATTCAAATTTTTCTCCACAATAATTTCCACTCAAATTAGTTGACGTGACAATATTTGGCGAGAAAAAAAAACTTTAAAACAAATTTATGTTGCCTGTTCATATGCATGCTTTATTTTTGTTATGATATTTATTTTGTTATTTGTTTTTATTTTGTTTATTTTTCATTCATTTCAATTTCTAGTTCACGCAATGGACACAACGCCTATTGTGAAAACAATTCAAAATAATGGTAAAGATTGTCATTTATTCGATAGTTTTAGACAAAGAGTGAAGAAATTCGATTTTCTTCTCTTTTAAGATAGAACAATGGAAATTAAATTCGCTTAATCGCTTCATTTTTTTTCAATTGCTTATTTTTATAACTACAAAATACATTTAATTGAATTCTTTTCTAGTATTACTATCTATTTTGAGAAGTAACAAAATTCGTTTTTGATAATCATGTTGTTTTCATGTGTCTGTACTTTGTTTTTTTTTTCTTTCTCTTTCATGTGTGTCTATGCCTGTTTGCTCATCAAAAAAAAAATCTCTTTTTTCAATTAACCAAAAAAAAAAATGTTTGGAACAAAAAAAAAATCAACAAAACAACAACAACTAAAAAAAAATTTCGTTTGGAATTTTAAACACTTTCAACTGGATTAAAAATGCGACATGTATATTTTTGACATCTTAAATTTAAACTCAATCAATTTGCTTGCCGTAATCCTATATTTGCTTTGATTTCTTTCTTGTAATAATTGTGTGTTTGTACTGGATAACATTTCTTTGTTGGAAATAATTTCAAATAATGCTGTGTGCTTTTGACTCATCTAAAAAAAAAAACAATTTTTATTCGTACGGTTGAAAATCTCTTTGTATTTGCTTCAAATTTATTAACATATCTCGCGCGTCTTGTGTGTGCATGTAATCGAAACAAAAACAATTGTACGATTTCTTTTTGTGCGTAATGATTCGACTGTTTTTTTACACAACTAAAACACCACAAACATTGCTTTACTGTTAAAATTGTGCACGCGCATGGTGTGTATCTTTAACCAAACAAAAATCAAATACCCCAAAATCAAACAAACAAACAAAATCGAACAAAAAAAAATAAAGGCTATGATGGCTATTATCGTCAACGTCGCAATTTTCCAGTGACAACACCATTGTTTGGCACAAGCCGGTCTTATGTCGATCCACACACCTATGAAGATCCAAATCAGGCGATCCGAGAATTTGCACGCGAAATCGATGCCAGTTACATCACCATTGAAGCAATCATCGGTAAGGTTCTGTTGACAATATCACAGATTGTTCAATGGCTAAAATTGTTTCGTTAATGCAGAGAATTTCTCCCAAATGCAAACAATTTATTGAAAGCTAATCGCAATTTATTGTTTCCGAAAAAATAAATAGGCGGCGGTGAATTTGGCGACGTGTGTCGCGGTCGGCTAAAGATTCCACCGAACTTTGTTCAGGACATTGATGTGGCTATCAAAACCCTGAAACCGGGTTCATCGGAGAAGGCACGATGTGATTTCCTCACCGAAGCATCAATAATGGGCCAATTCGATCATCCCAATGTAATCTACTTGCAAGGCGTTGTAACGCGTTCAAATCCAGTCATGATTATTACAGAGTACATGGAAAACGGCAGCTTGGATACCTTCTTGCGGGTAAGGCGAACATCTGCAATTTGGCAATCAAAATTGTCCAATCTAAAATAGGAATCAAGTGGAAAAAAAAACATTTGATTAATATTGAACTCAACCTATATAGTTCAAATGGAGCTGCTTCTTATCAGTGATTGCTATATCGCTCTCAGCATCTCATAGGATAACTGAACGAGATAATTCAGCTGGCTGAGATGACGCAGCGACGCATCGCCCGAGTCTGTGCGATACACATACACACAATGCGCCCAGCGGTATCCGTATACACTCAGTCCCATTTAGTGACGCGCGGCATCGAATTGTGTGTGTGCATCACAAAGACTCGGGCGATAGACTTGGGCGATGCGTCGCTGCGTCATCTCAGCTAGCTAAATTATCTCGTTCAGTTCATCCTATGAGATGCTGAGAGCGATATAGCAATCACTGCTTCTTATGTCCATTGATCAATTCATTATCATTTTCGTTCACAGGCAAACGATGGAAAATTCCAAACGCTGCAATTAATTGGCATGCTTCGCGGTATCGCAAGCGGTATGTCATATTTGAGTGATATGAACTATGTACATCGTGATTTAGCGGCCAGAAATGTGCTGGTCAATGTGCAGCTCGTATGCAAAATCGCTGACTTTGGTTTGTCACGAGAAATTGAAAATGCCAGCGATGCATATACGACACGCGTAAGTCGATTTCTTTCTCGAAGCAAACAACATTTTTCTCTCTCTTTTTTCTCATTTAATCGTAAAATCTTCTTGTTTTCCCTTTTTTCCACAGGGTGGCAAAATTCCAGTTCGCTGGACTGCACCCGAAGCAATTGCGTTCCGTAAGTTTACGTCGGCATCAGACGTCTGGTCATACGGAGTCGTATTATGGGAAGGTAATATTTTCTTCTTGTTTTAAATAATTACGTTTTCATTCATTTGATTCACGCAAAATGGCTCATTTGATTTGGTTTTGTAGTGATGTCATATGGTGAACGACCGTATTGGAATTGGTCAAATCAGGATGTAATCAAAAGCATTGAGAAGGGTTATCGTTTGCCAGCGCCAATGGATTGTCCGGAAGCATTGTACCAATTGATGCTTGACTGTTGGCAAAAGCAGCGAACGCATCGTCCGACATTCTCTAGCATTGTGACAACATTGGATAACTTGGCACGTCAACCGATGACACTGCTACAGGTGAGAAATTCGCCCGACAATGATGCGCAGGCGTGCATGGGCGGATTAGGTTTAGGTAATGCAAGTACAATGGGCTTAGGCGGTAGCATGGCTGGCATTGTTGATTCAAAAGAGCGGGTTATCTTCATGAATGCGGATCATTGGTTGGACTGCATCAAAATGACACGATACTCACAACATTTCAAAGAGGCGAATCTAGTTTCTGCTCAACAGGTAATTCATAACATACGTACATGCACAGAAAAAAAAATCACTGACCAAAAAAAAAAAATTGACGAATTGTTGAATGTTCATTGATTGAAAGGAAAATTGAATGAAAAATTGAAAGAAAAATCAATAAATTTGAAAAAAAAACTCAAAGGAATTTGAAAAAAATGCGAAAATATTTACCAAAAATTAAAACTTCTATGAAAATTACACAAATTCCCAATTGAATCCAATCGAATAGAAAGAAATGTCAAAAGATTGCTAGCAAATGAAAGAAAAAACCTTGAAAATTTTCGAAAGAAAAAACTGAAACAATTTTATGATGAAACAGTTGAAACAAAATCACTAATCGCACTTTATTCCATCCCCAATTTCAATAGATATCACGATTGACTGCACAACAACTTTCTGACATGGGCATTACGTTAGTTGGACACCAAAAGAAGATCCTGCACCAGGCCAGGCAGCTGGATTCAATCATCTAATTAGCGAATTTTCAATAACTTAGCAAACAATCAGAAAATGAGTACGAGGATTAAGGTCGGTTTTTTATGATGATGATGATGATGACGACGATGACAAACCACTTGATCACATTTTTTGAAATCATTAATCATTACCAATTGTATACATAGATATTATGTAATTTATTTCTTTAAACAAGTCACAAGAAAAAAATACTCACGACAAACCGAATTGGCGAGACAGAGTGAACGAAAAGGGTTTACAAACAAATGAAAGAAGAAGAAGGAGAGAAAAATATACATATTATTAATATTTAATTATCATCAAATGCATCGTATACAAATTACAATAACAAAAAGCAAAAGCAACAACAAAATATATTGTGTAAATACATGATAGCTCGATTTCCATCATCTAGTTTTTATTGTCACAAAAAGAAGAAGAAGAAAAAAAACAACAAAACACGTAAATCGTAAGTCATGCGAAAGGAAATCTCTATTCTAAATAAATTTACTTAAAATTCTCTAAATGTATTTGAACAAAAGGAAAAGAAATAACGCAAAACAACAACAACAACAACAACAACAACAACACAAACACACATTTTTTTTTCTCGAGACAAAACTGAAGAATTTGTTGAAATAAGTTTGTATCTCATTCTGATGCCATTAATTAATTTTCATTTTCCTACGATAGACGATATTGAATATATACATATTTAGTGATAATCCCCAGTTGATATTTGCCGATGAAAACGAAATAATGACATTTATATACATAAATCTATGACAGACAAATCGATTAATTTTTTGTTTTCTCTATTTAAATGTTCTTTTTTTTGCTAACCAACTATTTGTTCATTCCGAACCATAATTTCAAGGCGAACACACTTACATCGATCTCGTAAACGAAACCCCACGACAAATTGAACACATATTTTAGTCATAAATTATTGGCTGAAATTTTGTTCGTTGTAATTATTTTTCCCACTTTCTTCAGAGAAATGTTCTGATTTGGTCTAAAATTTGAATGGAAAAAAGCAATTTTTTTTCGCCTAAAGCAAAGTTAACAAACGAGTAAAACTGAACTAGTTTTGCCGAACAAGTAATGCACATTATTTTTGGCCTATATGTTATGAAACTGTACAAAACCAATAACAAAAAGACACCGAAAGCGAAGCAAACAAACGCCGTGCTATGATGAAATTGTTGAACAGCTTCGACAATTATGATTCACTTTTATTGCACACATGCATCAATTTCGGTTTGAAATCACAAAATGTTCAAATAAAAAACAATTTGCTTATTGACAAATGTTCAAATAAAAATTTTCTATGGCCACTCGGACGGAATGCGCTTGACACAAACAAAAAGAAACATCAACAAATTAAGCAATCTCAATGTATTTCTAATGAAATATTTAACATTTAAACAAAAAAGAGACAACACATTTTTTATAGAACTGATTTTAATGTTTTTTTTCTTTCTCGTCTTCTGCTTCTCTCACAAGAATGATATTTTTTATATTTAATTTCATTGAAAACTAAATAACGAAAAGTGACATATATCAATGAACAATTGAAACGAAACACAATTTTTTTTTTAGTTTCGTTTCTTTTAAAACTATCGCTTCTTATAAATATATTTATTGGCAAGTCTTCTCATCGCTAAGTTTTTATCTAAAAAAAAAATACACAAATCGAATTTGATATTTCATTGCATTTGTGTTTTTTTAGGGCGATATCGAAATGAAATCGAATCAAACATATTTTACTGTTACACAGTTGAATGCACAATTAGATTATTATTGAAAAAAAAAATTGACAAACAAACAACAAGACTTTGAACGATTGTAAACGAAAGCAAATGAATGATGGTCAAATCAAATTGGATTAAGAGAGAGAGAGAGAAAAAAAAGAAATGGTGTGAAAGAGTGTGAACAATGGATTATGTAAATATCTTACAGAAATTGCAACGACACTAGCATGTAAAATGATGATTAGAATGGAAGCAAACGCAAGAAAAAAATCTTTATATATAAATTTAAAATGGAAACAAAACAATTTCTAAGCAATACTTAACAACAACAACAACAACACAACAGACACACACATACATTTGAGTTTTGCATAAATTCCAAATGATTTGTTCTCTATGCTGAGTTGAAATTTTAACAAATTTTCTAAACAAAGACTTATAATTTTTTCGCCTAAATATTCTATTTATATATAAATAAAGGTAAAAAGACGGCGAAATAATGCAAAAAACATAATGGCCATGGTTTGAACACAAGTGAAATAGTAAAGTGTTGCGAAAGAAAAATGTCATGTCATGAAGTCCAGAACGAAAACAACAATTTCATAGGGCAATACAGACAAAGGTGTCTTTTTTTCTTGCAATTCTTTTCTTTTTCGATGACATTTCAAGAAAAAAACAATTGTAAATAATATTTAAATTAACACAAATATAATACACTGCAGATTAAAGCGAGATTTTTTACAATTTGGGTAAAGAACACACAAGCTTGGATAAATGAAGTGATTTTCCTGTTGTTTTATTGTGTTGTCGGGAATATTTAATACATTTCTTCAAATTGTTCGTGTTGAACGAAACCAAATCACCGTCGTTTCACAGTTGATTCGAACATTATTTATTGATTGAATCTCATTCATCGAATTCCATTCGTCACATTTCCACCGAATTCATAAGCGCAACACATCGCTCTAAATGAAAAGGAACAAACAGTTCATTTTTTTTTTTTACATTAATCACTTTTCGAATTTTGCAGTTAACACTTTTTACCGTTTTTTACCTGAATTGTAAAGAAAATGACCTTTATGTAGACAACAATCGACAAATGGAAAACAGAAAAAAAAACACAACAAACATCAATTTTATTAAGGAAAAATGTCAGACAAATAAAACAATAAAGCAAACGAGAGAATCGAAATAGCGAATAAAACAAATTCATCAGATGGTGTATTCATTTTTAACAAATTTTTACTCATGTTTTCAGGTATATTTGACATATTGTACGGATATGATTCAACATTCTGAGTACGTTTGAGAGGATTTGATTTAGTGCTGGACTTTTTAAAAACGAATCTTTATTCTACTAATAGATTCGGTGGTTGATCTTCTAATAGTCCTCGTTCCAGTTTTTGTTGATATGCCAATGGCAACATCGTCTTCAAGATGGTTGCAACAAGTGTATAGATCAAGAAGAAATTCATTCCGTTGGAAAATTGAAAATAACTTATTGTTGCACTGAGACAATTACATATTTACATATTGTCCGTAGAGTGAGTATATTGCACCAACGATTTAACTGGAAATTGTATTTAGTTCGAAAGTTTTTTCCTTCCACTCTGGTATGGCGTTAAACGTATTGGTCGAAAATTGTGCTAATCACAACAATTGGTTGATTGGTTTCAGTTATTTCTTGTTTGATATTCTAAATGGCCGAAACGTTACACCGTAATACGTAGAATGATCACTTCTCAAAACAATTCTGTTAAACAGAAGCGGTCAAATGAAAGTGCAAAAATTTACGACTAAAAAGTGTAAACGTAACGAAAATATACGAAATTTAATTTGAATTGCAAAAATTGGTCGTTCTCCAGATACCTTAAGAAGGCAACTGACCTCATTCATTCTGCATAGCCTAACTTTTTTGAACACTTTTAAAGTGGCAGTTTGAAACGAATCAAGATGCTTTTGCTGCATCTGACCCCAAGTAAGTGCGAATTGTCTTTTTAAAATTATTTAGATTTGAGCGCCAAATTCAAAGTTGTCTTTTTTGAATATCTAAATTATTGCCGGGAAAGTGGATCCCAGGAAATAAAGAGAGAGAAAGAGAGAGAGAGAGAGAGAGAGAGAGAGAGAAAGGAAAAATTGAAAATAACAAACGAAACGAAACCAGATATTTGAATGAACAAGAGTTGTGTTGTAAAAAACCTTCATTTGTGGATTGTACCAATCATAAATCTTCTCTTTGTTTTCTTCCATTTGAAAGGTAATGTGTCCAGAATGGGAATTATTTTTCATTTCAGCCTTCAGAATGAGTTGTTCCTGTTTTATTTTTTTTCTGTTAGCTGCAGTAAACAGAATCGAAATGGCACATACTCAAAGTACTGAAGAATAGAGCTGCGAGATGCGAGAAAGGAAGAAAAAAGCGACAGCAGCAGCAGTAGAAATCGGAAAAAAGAATTAAAATTCGTGCGGCACCAAATGCACAAGCTAGAAGGAGTATATAGAGTTCAAAGCAACATCATCAACATTTAGCCGGAATATTTGCAATTGATCAAAACCACACACGTGCGATTCGTTTATTTTCATTTGGATTTTGTTGGTGCTTGTTCATCGCCGTTCACCAGTTGTATAACTATTTGCGCGTTTCGTTGCCATTTCCTCTCTTTGGTGTGCCGTTTTTTTTTTCCTTTCTTCCCGTCGACTTTGTCAATTGGCCGAAGTTTTGTGTGCATCGTTTTGCATATCGTGAAATGTGTATGGTGATCATTTTGCAGTTTGCCAAGCGCGCAAACACACACACACACACACACGCCGAGCACACAATAGACGAAGCGAGAGATCCGCGTGAGGTCGTTTGCAAACAATTTTATTCGTAGTAGCTTTTCTCCAATGCACGATATATAAATCAGAATTATGATAAATTGATAAATTGGAATTGAAATAAATCGATTTCGGTTCATTTGCTCACCAATTTGAAAGTAGAAAAAAAGGCGGAGAAGAAGGAAAAAAAAACTACACAACTCGAATGAACAAACAAATAATATCGAAATGGGAGGCCCATGACATTCGGCACTCCACTTTGGCAAGAGATGCGTTTGCGATATATGTACTCTCAGAATTCAAAGGAGGCAAACTAAAAAACATATAGTGTAAAACATCAAATTACCCACTGTCTTTTGCCATTGTAGGCAAAATGTCAGTTTACCTCCACTGTATGAAAATTGTCGGCAAAATGTCATTTTACCTACATTTTTGGTGGAACGGTGTTTCAATGTATTAACAATGTAGGTATAAATGACATTTTGCCGACAATTTTCATACAGTGGAGGTAAACTGACATTTTGCCTACAATGGCAAAAAACAGTGGGTAATTTGATGTTTTACACTATATGTTTTTTAATTTGCCTCCTTTGAATTCTGAGATTATATATTCACAATCGTGTCGAGTGGATTTGTTCGGTTGCATTTTTGTGCCGTATAAAATGAATCGCAAAAATGCTCTATTCGGCTCGCGAAACA